GCTTTAACCACTACGCACGCGGACAACTATACACTGTTACTTATTAGGTTTGTTACCGACTTTCTATAGGAATTTATTTTTCCTCGGATTGGAATGTCGCATTTTTATTGGTTTAAACGTGACACGTGGCTGCCAGCTATATTTCTATGCCCGGCAGGTGAGAATTAATATCTGGCAATATGGCCGACGTGTTGGGTTAACATTTCGATATTAAAAATAATTTATTACGGAAACCACTTTCGAAATGTTAACCCAACGCAAATACACTCGTAATCCAATCCGAAATTCCTCCAGATATTATTCCTTTGAAATCTGAGGGTTTTCAAAATTGTATATATTTTTTAATTTATTTTTTGGGCACGCCCATCACTATGTTTCTCCTTTTAAAGACTATACTAACATAAGATACATCAAAACCAATGTTCAAGAAAGAATAAGATAAGAATAGGAACCTTTTTGGTAAACTTTATGCACTTGGTTTTCCGCATTTTTATTCTAAACGCTTGCAGATATTGAGCTGATTTTTGGTATGTGAGTGTATCTTGATGAGTTACAGATCAAGTTTGCATTTCGTTCCGCTTCATTGATTTTTGACGGAATTATGGCATTTTCAATTTTTAACGGGAACCAGATTACGCTTGCCGGTAGGGGACTAATATTGCTAGAATGCTTGTTTTAAAAAAATCTGAAATCTACAATCCATCAAAAAGCAGGTTAGTGTTAGAAAAATTTAACCTTTCCTCACCAAACTTTCTGTCAGATTTTTCAGTGACCCCTTGCAGTTTTTACAGCTTTTCTTAATCACGTCCTCTTAAAATAGGTATAGCATTTTTAGTACCCAGTCTATGGAAATTGATTCTGAAGTTTAAAAAACTGAAAAGCTTGGTTGATGTTGAAAAGTCTTTTCTGTATCAATTTTGTAAATAAATGAATGAATAAATAAATGAAATAACCACTTTATATACTCAATATTCTAGTTGAATGGGCAGACATAAAACATTCAGGTTAACCAAATAAAAATATGTTTTGAACAAATAATATCCTTTAAACAAAAATAATTTTAACGATTGGATCTTGTATATTATATGTAGAGCGAGCTGTCCGTTATAAGCGCCCATTGTTTTTTTCAGAGTGATATGTACTATTTGATGTACTATTTAATATGAACATAATTTACATGAAAAGCCTATTTAAAAAAGATGATGAACATCAAATATTTAAAAGTTTTGCCATTTAAGCAAACGACCGATTTGGTATCTACTATTTGGCCCCAAGAATATAAATATCCGATATTTCGATATCAGCGGATCCCTAATTTTTAAGAAAATAATAATATTAAAAAAAAATAACGTTCGTAAGAGTTATCTTTGGAATCGGTTATGAATAATGTAAATGTAAAATTTGCGTTTTATTTATTGGTGAACCTAAGATTAATTGCATTAATATATCTTGGAGCAAGAAATGGGTGACTTATTGACAAGTATGATAAAGGTCAATCATTGTTAGGGGCCCAGTGATACCAAGATATCTGATATTTATGTTCTTGGAACCAAGCAATAGAGACCTAATATCTACAAAATTGGTGTTGTAATCTAATACAACAATGGTATAAAATGCATTAGAAATATAATTGCCATGTTTAGTGGATCTTATCTTGGATGAACGATGTCTTTTATTGTTAAAGCATCTTCACGTGATTTGGAATACATGGTTACAAAGTGAAGAAGTTTCACACGTCGAAACCGCTCGTCCTTTAAATTGTCAACTATTTTAGTTTCCTGTGCACATTTGTTTCTAAAGAACGACACTACTACCTTCAAGCTATATGTTTGGGCACATAAATTTTTGTAATGACTTAATTTTCTGTGCTTATTTCCTCATCAGTTGTATTTCGTTGAATTTCAGTTTGTTTTCTAAGAACGAAATGAGGAAATTATCCTCCAAACACGTCAGAAATCGTCGTGGCATTTTCTTCAAAATGACAACACATTATTTTCAAGAAGTTTTAATCAACCTTTGCAATTTCTAAGACGATCTCTTGAACTACTTGGATGATGATTAAATGCAAAACATAATTGTTCCTAGAGAATGTGATGTACATAACTTTGAAGTTAATGAAAAAGCAATTCGCTGCTGTATAGTAAGAATATAGAGCAAAGGAGAAGTAGTGCAGAATCAAACATTTGCCATTCTTCTATTAATTTATCGTATGGTTTGTTAGGATGTACATTATTTCAACTACTTGTGTTCTTGACAGTTAAACCTAGTGACATTTCATTAACCTTTCCAGAAGGGTGAACGCATGTTTGACGTAAGCGGAAGAATTTGTACGCACTGGCAAATCATTAACTGATATTAATCTGTCTTTAAATCTGTCAAGGATTAAGAACATCGTTCAATGCTGGAACTTCGGCATTTTATTCATTTCTACTTTTCAGATATCATGTGTAAAATCGGGCTAACCCGTTGTTTTATCATATTTCGGGAATGTTGTTAATTATTACTAGTATGTTAGATCTAGAAGGGGGGTCCGAACCCATCCCTCTGGGATTTTCAGAATAATTAAATTTCTATGTGAAGAAACTAAAAAATGACCCCCCCCCCCCCGAAATACAGACCCCCGTAAAATAGTTAGGAGAATCATTTATACGAAGGAAATTGACTTTGGAAAGTGACGTCGTAACACTACTCCCCCCCCCCCCCCCCCCCCCCCCCGGCAACGAAATTGATTTTTTAAGGTTTAGTCAAGACGTCTAGGGTTTTTTCTGTTCTCAAAAAATCTTCGAGTCTTTGTTTTCCGGTTTTTGTTTGAGTAAATTTGCGACCCCACCCTCCAGGGAAAAAATTCTGGATCCTGTATCAGCGCGCATGTCAGGTTAAATAACAAGTGAGCTAATCTTAATGATTGTCTCGTTATATATAATACACAAGCATACAGACCGAGGCGGCCGTCAGAGACGACATGCCTATGGAACAAGACTATTCATATCACAATATGTTATGCAAGTAAAAGTAAATTAGTATCACCTGTATATATGGACCTTGGAGGATGTAATGTGAGTGTTAACAATAACATATCTCATTATTCATTTGCAAAATATTTTCAATATAAACTGTACATGGTTATTCACCAGACAAATTCCATACGTACCTTTTTTACAATGTGCAAATTACCAGTACTATGTGATTAAAACAACTTAAAATTTTCATAGAGGTAACACAGTCTCCAAAATACTTGTATATCACACAGGCACTCTGTATATAGTACCCCTATATTATAAAATCAACTGTTGATTTCGTACAGTGTAGTTTAGGGATATTACTGAGTTGGACGGGGAGCGCCAAATTAGGGTAGCACAAGAGATAAGTTATTTTTTCCTTTAATTTTTTTCCAAAGTAAAACAAGAACTTGAACCTAATATATTGCAATATCGATGATTTTTGTAGAGATATTAAAATCTTATTATCGTGCATTTATTTCTAAGATTAAACCATTATATAAATACTGCATGTAGTTGAAGGTAACATTGAAAATTTTCACCCCAAGAAAACCATTGTCAACCGAGGCCCAGCCAATAGTTTTCGATAGGTGAAAATTTCAATACTATCATATTATACTGAATGTTTTTTACAAACAAATAAAGATGAAGCTCGCGCGCATAAATTCCGCACAGTCATTTTTTTCTTTGGAATATCACCCGTCGTCAAGCAATGTTGACTGCTGCTATGTTCTATCGCTCTGAAGGACCTGGTTTCATCATTCAGAGGGAAACAGTGTTTTTAAACAAATGTTTCTCGAAGAATCAAATTCAAGTAATTTACATGAAAGTATATTTTCAAATATCGCCCTTCAACTAAGAACGAACTAAAGCTATTTGATTTAACAACGAAGAACAGTAACGTTAGAACAGTAGCGTTAGTTTTTATTTTATTTTTTTTTTTAAGTTATTTTGGCATTTTTTTGTGACATTAAATACCCTCGAGTCACAGAATGAATCTCGCGAAATATTTTTTGTTATGCACACTAACAACCAGTGTTTCAACAAAATCCCTTTTGAATAAGCAAAGGAAAGACAGAGCCGTGTATTATCATATTTAAGTGATAATTTACAAGGGCAGATCCAGAATTTTTTCCAGGGGTAAGGGTCCATACCCACAAAAAAGTTTTTGGAACAAACAAACTAAACCAACCAACCAAAATGCCCAAACACGAAATATCTATTTTTCGTAAAGGGGAAGGGGGGGGGGGGCACAGTCTTATCTCGTGGACAAGCCGCCTCTCATTCATGTAATTTACTCTTCTTATCAACTTATATTTATGAGGGGTCCATGTTTTTGAGGGAGGGTTTTCACAAGTAATTCTTATTTACTTAACTTACTATAAATTTAAAGAAACAAAAATAGTTATGGGGTGGTCTAGACCCGACTGATCCACATCCTCCGCTGGATCCGCCTTTAATCTAAAAACGAAAACTTGATAGCAAAATAATTCAATAGTGCATTAAACGATCATTGTCTTTAAAATCTTCATTTGAAGACTGTACGAGGACTGTTCGGAAATTATTGAGACATTTCCTTTAACTCTATAAAAGAAAGAGATCAATACATGAAAATTCGCCAAGATTTTATCAAGAACAAATAAAACGAAAGTGCAAAATTTCTAGACAACAGCATTGTTAGAAAAGTCCTGGGGAGGTCATTAATTTACATATATCTACTGAGGTGGAGCACGCCTCGGAGATTTTTAGGACGTCATTTTGACGTTATATTGCGTTAATGTTTCATTAATTCAATCGAGAACAAAATTAAATATTAAATGAAAGAGAATTACAAAACGTAAATTTTACACACACCCAATGCATAAAAACATTATTAATAGCCACACTTTGAAAGATCACAAGAGCTTAGCAGAAAAAAAGATCTTGATCAAATTTTGTTCAAATTTTAATGATTCCTAAAGCGTTTGAATAAAAATATGGTGAAATTTACAATTCACTTACCTTCTTTTTAGACTTAATTTGGTATGAATCCCTTTGGGCGTCTGCATTTCCAGGGGTTTTACGTTTCCAAAGAATACAACCAACAATGGAATAGGTAATGGTCAAAATTAAAAGTGGGATCACGTAAGTCAACATTAGCACGAGAACAGAATAGGCGATCCGTAATCCGTCGTCCGGCCATTCTTCATCACATCTTATACTTCCGTTTTTGTTAGTTGTTTCACACACTTTTAACTGGACAGCACTCAAGGACACAGCGTATATCCATATGCACAAAATAATAATTTTGTATCGGGATGTTGCATTGTGGGATTTCAAAGGGGAGACAATTGCATGAAAACGGTCGATGCCAACTACCATATTGGTTGAGACACTAGCGGAAACGGAGACAGTTTGCAAAAACACAACTATAGGGCACATAGGGACCGAAAACACCCAAGTACCCAAAAGCTCGTGGGTGAAAGTAAATGGGATACAAAAGATAGCCATAATTAAGTCCGAAAACGCTAAATTCAATAAGAAAGGTCGTATATCTGTTTTTGACCGTTTACCTTTGGTAAAAACAATAATTGTTGTTATATTACCGATAATAGCCAATAACGTCGTCATAGAATAGAGAATGATAAATACAATCCCTACTTCCAAGGGCCATGCAAATGGATGGTAGGGGTTGACGGGACTAAGAAAACGATTTTCAGAAAGATACTCAGAGTTTGTTAAGTTTCGTCCACTAGAGTTGCCGGCTGCTCTCAAAACCGAAGATGTCGTCCAAAGATATAGGGAATCGTTGGCAGGCATAACTTTGTCCCTTGATAACATTTTCCCGACAGAATCAGCGCTCATGGTCAAGTTACTAAGTTCAAATAGGTAACTCCATGGTTACTTGTTGAGGTCCAGTTAACAACTGCAATACGTATCGGTCTCTGGCAACCATTCCTCTTACTGATATATAGTCTGTTATCTGTAATAACAAAATAACATAACGCATAAATTGGGGAAAAAATTTGCCGAAACTTGTTTTGAAAAACTATCTTGATTACTATTGTCAAAACTATCAAATGTCTGCTTTTAAAATCACTATTAATTATTCAGTTCTTCTCAGGCAACCAGTATCTTTAAATTCTGCAATTGAGTCAGCAAAGAAAAAATCCAAATGATACAATTGATCGTTTCCAAGTCAAATACAATGCAAATGAATATAAATTAGCGAACAACTGATCATTAAACCAAATATTTGATTTTTTCCCCATTGCTACTCAGTATTAAGTATTACAGTCTGCTTAGAGGAGAGGTAATTGGGCAAACAGCGAACTCACTAACATTACTCTTGTATCCCTTCCTAATTTGATATGTATTACCATTTTATTATTTGCATACTTTAAAAATAAATTTAAATCAAAATTCGATATTCCATGTATAATTTTTAATTAAGTAGTCTGATTCTTTAAATTATTTAAATGGGATATTCGTAAAAAATACCTTATTTCTCGGGTGCTGAAAAATGAAGCGAGCACTTTGCAGTGACTTCCTCCCCAGATCATAGAAACTAGAACTCCAAACGATTCATGTTCTACCATTAGATACAAGAAAAGTTGACTTACAGAAGCGCGGAACTCCTGGAATCAATGTCAGTGAGCACGCGTTCGCTACATAGAGAAAGAGCCAAGCTAAAAGTAGAGTTATCCGGTAAAATGCTTTTGACAGCGATGTACCGTTATATACATATGTCTAACGTAGATTCCGTCCGTCAAGTCTGGTATACAATATTTATGACTAGTTCTTATATACGAAATAAAACATAAAGCATTTCATTTAAATATAAAATGCCATTTTTCTACCTCAAGCAGAGGTATTACATTGAATTGTGTGCCTTACATTTTACTGTAAAGTGCAAATACGTTGGAGGGATATTATGAAGTTTCTGCATTGTGTAAGGTTACAGTGTAAAGCAGTGTCTTCTAATTGCATAATAATGATTTTTTTTCTAGAATATTACTGAAATTATTTTCTTCTAGAATTTTTACCCTTCTTTTGAACTGGGGCGTCTTACGGTAATGGTTTCATCAATTTCTGGCACAAGAAGTGTCAGCAGAAATCTATAGCACAGAGTTACAAGAAGAGAGTAGTTCTACTTTTCATAAACAAGATCAAAAGATTAAATAATAAAAACAGATTTTTTTAAAGATGTAAAATTAATCATAAGAAAGAAATTAAAATACAATGAATTTTCTGCTCCTTTTTGTGTTTCATGATCATATACTTCGTCATGTTTAAGAAACATGACATATAGCGGTGTTGATTAGAGTTGTCAAAAGTTAGTTATTTCTCTAATCTGCTAATACCAAAATTTGCTTTTTCATGTATTGAAAGGGTTTTTACCGGTAGGTTGAGATTATTTGTTATCTCCATATGTTAGAGCCTCTATTTTGTTGTTACAAACACGAGTATGATCTTGAACAAAACCTGGCTGCCAGGCCTCAGTCATTCAGCTTAAGACATTTATTACGTCACGAGATGGAGTTCAATTGTGGGATCTTCTCCAAGGACAGAACAAAAACCCTCTGAGCATCTGTGGAGGAAATTATCTTTTTTGTGTTGATTAGGTAATTAGTTAATTACAGGTGGATGATCACTTGTTCGAAGATGTTGAAATACGGAAAATTCGTTAGGTAAATGACCTATGAAATAGATATTGAAGAAATGTTCATTATTCCTTTAATACATGTAATTTACATTCATTTCGTTTCGTTTCAATAGAAATCCAGAGAAAGACTGAAAATAGGACTTGGAACAAACTTTGCTGTTGTTACCGATCAATTGAATTTTAGATTAGTTCAATGCAATTTAATCACTCTACTTTTTATTTCAGTATATCAATACCTGTTAACACACATTGTGTTAACTAACTTGGACTATTTGAAGGTTCTTAAAATGGTTGGTGCTATTCTTGGTGAGTTTTGCCGCTATTATCGCGGTGTCTCTTATCGCATATAAGTTGTCACTGATTTTTCGTTTGAAATGCTAAATTCGATCAACTCCGTCATGACCACGAAGATTATAGGATTATCATTATTTATTTAATCATCTAACCCTAATCAACTCGTTTTGGTGTGCGTGTGTTCTTTAATTATCGATATTAGATACATTAGCTGGTTTTTGAGACATTTCACCGAATACTATTTACATGATTATCTAGCTCAGGGTGTTTATTTATCAAAACGATATAAAATACTTGTTGAAAAAATACATTGGAAAATTTTTATATGCTTAAGCTTAGTGTCATTTATAACTGTCGTATTCTAACACACAATATCACGCTCTCGTTTTTACTTAATGCACTTTCACAGCTACACTCTTGTTGAAATTAAATAGATACATGTATGTCATTTTCTCCCAAAATACTGCGAGCGGTGTAAATGATAAAAAAGCCCCTCATCAAAATAACACGAGTCAAACAGCAACATAACCAAGATGTCAGTATTAACATGAATTCCATGTTAAATGGACAAATGCACAAAATTTTGTCCTGTCTGCATATTATTGAGATAAACAAGAAGTGAATTTCTGCAAAATTGTCTAAAACGAAGCACTGCAAGTGATGCAAACGAAAAGAGAATGTTCCTCATCGAAATAACGAACATTAAAAAAAACATCTAACCTAAAGAAGACGTTAGTTTTTGGTAGAATGGACAAATGCACTTAATTTTATCCTGATTTTAACACTCACCGCTTTTTCCACAATGAAATTCCAGTAAGTTTGCTGGTCAAGTTTACTCACTGCAGAGGAAAGGATAAAGGATTTAATCTGAATATTCATGACTTTTCCCACTGAAATTCCACCTTTTTCAAAACTTCTAATGATTGTAATACAGGTAGGAAGTAAAAGGACCTGTTAGTGAAATCTGCTTTGGGAATATCCTAAGGGTGTTTTCTGGATTGTCAAATCTGCTGTCCCATACATTTATCATTACGTCTCTAGCTACAGTAATTCCATGTTTTATTAAGTGAAGGAACATTACAGGTATTATCTCACAGCAATTTCAGTATATTTCTCTTTTCTGGGCCAAATAAATCTAAATGAAAACCCTGCCCAGCTCCTGCAATTTGTCACCGATTGTGTTATATTTTTCAGAGTCTTTTCAACCAAAGTGAAAAAAACACACTTGTCAATTAGGAGACGTTACTGAAGTCAAAATGTCTTGGGAATATGTTTCATTCTCGTTTTACTGCATTTTTTTCCCTCAAAGGTCTTTATTGCATTTCAATTAAACAAAAAACAAAACCAAAACCAAAAAAAAAAAAAAAAAAAAAAAACCCAGATATTTGATAACTTGACTAATTACTAAAAGTGTGAAGAAAGTGAAGTTTAATGAATATGACCTTGATATATATATATATATATATATATATATATATATATATATATATATATATATATATATATATATATATATATATATTCGCTAAATTCTGACTAACATGCTATTGATTAAACATTCTTGACCAAGAAATCAAAATCTTTAGAATGTATACAAAATAACAACACCTACCTCGTCCATATCTTACAAAGTAACAAACATTTAGCTCTTTAAAGTAGGAGTTCGTTGCAAAGAATGGAATGTAGAAAGGGCAGAATATCTTTATAATAATTACAAGCCTCTTTCTGCTTTTCCTCTCAAGTTCTCATTAAAGCCACGTGCTCAAGAATAAAATGAGAATAAAGAAATATGCGGCTTTCCCCCTATCCACCAGCTGGGCAAGGCGGTCATTTGCCCTTGTAGCATACCTGTTTCCTAATTATGGCTCTTATTATCACTCAATATAACTTTGGTTTTGATTTATGCTTAGTGACATTAAAATCGATGCGAATGATAATCATTTTAAAATTGTTTCGGTATCGTAATGAATGAAAAAGAATGAAAAGGAAATGACACCAGTCAAAGTTTTTATAATTATCGAATATGTTTGCTTTATGAGAGACTTTTTAAAAAGGAGATTTTCTTTAAATAAACTTTTATTTCCAATTATAAATGAATTATTGAAAATGAAAATATATGTCCGTCGCACTTTTGATTTAAATCGTTCACAAGTATGAAATCATTTACCTGAATTTTCCCTTTTGTTTTTGTTTATGCAATTAAATTTAAGGTACCAGATTCTTTTTTTTTTTTTTCAAAAAAATTGTTACATTGTGAATTCCATTTCATAAGGACTTGTATAGAAGAAAATTATTTGTCATTTCAACTGGTTCTTAGTAATGATAGTAGTTTGTTTGTACAGTGGAAAGAATAAAAATGTAAATACTTACTATATAATATATTTTCAAATGTTTGCTTGATTATATTGTTTTGTCTTGACAATGAATATACATTTTTTTTTATTATCTTAACAAATTTGTAACTTTTTTCCACAAATTTTCGGTCTACAAATTAAGCTTTACATATGTAATTTAAGAAATTAAAGAGTTGAACCCTTGGCTTTCAATAATTGTACAGACTCGCGCCATCTAGCGTAAATTCAGATAATGACTTTTTTGTGCGCCATCTAGGATCAATTCAGTTATTGACTCTTTGTTTTGCATCGGTGATCGTTATTTTTTACGGAGTCTCTCGATTTTGCAATTGAGTCTGTTGGTTTTATTTTAAGCTGCTTGTATTGCCTGTTAATATGTTTTTTTTTTGTTTTGTTTTTGTTTTGTTTTGTTTTTTTTTGGACAAATTAATTGTTCTTTTTGCATAAACTCTTTTTTTTTTACCCATAATGCCGTCCATAAATGAACCTCCTTGTTAATTTAACAGTCATGGTATCTTATTTTTGCAAAAGTAGATATCTTACAATTTGGTACACTGCTTTTTACATTTTCCTTTAATAGAAATAATTATAGAATTTCAATAATTAGCTAAATGTTTAACTAATGGTACAAGACATACCATGAATGTATCCAGTGGTACTCACATTCTGAGTAATAAGTACTCGAAAGTAAACAAGTAGGCTGAACATTTTTATGAAAAATCTCACCTGATGAAAAATGTTTAAAGTTCAAATTAATTTTAGTTAATTAATCTCCTTATCGAGGAACAAAGGTAGATGAAAGTAAAGATTTCGACCTTGAAATAACACTACATGCTGAAATATTATCTATAGTTTACCACATAATAATTGTGAACTTGATTTTTCATGCTTTTCAGTAGTTCTGTAAATAATGAAATAACTGTCTTTTGCTTTGAACATTATAAACAATGTACTTTAATTATTTTAGATTAGAACTTTATAAATCAGCAAAGCGAGTGCATCCAAATTACCCCCCCCCCCCCCCCATGAAATAAATAAATGAAAAATTTTACTGAATTGAAGATGATTTTCATCTTAAATATACTCCACAAAAGATATCGTCACATTCTATCAATATGCATCAGAAATAACATTAGGTCCAACCCAAAACGGGGAACGGAGAGGAAAGAAACCAATGTTAGCGAAAATGTTCCGTTGAAGAGAAAAACCAGTATTCCTTTGAATGGAAGTTATCGGGATGTGTAATACTGTGGCCTTCGTAATGGCACAGGATTAGGTCAATCACCTAATAAACGAATTAACTAGTGTATGAGTTAAACATATCGGTATTTCACTTAAAAATCTACAAATAATACAAATCTGTAAACAGGGCAACAGATACGGACCCCCGGAAATTTCAGAGGTGGGATCAGGAACCTAGGAGGAGTAAACGTCCCTTGTCGACCGGTCACACCCGCCGTTAGCCCTATGTATTGATCAGCTGGACGGAATTTTAGTACAAAAATAAAGGCCTAACAATCGATATGAAACACGTCAGCCAAAATACGACCCAATGATAGGTTATACAATTACATAGAATGAAGAACTCCAGCATTTTTTAAATATCAACCACAGATACTTGTTTGTAGAATCAGCGTGATTTTTTTAACAAAGTAATTTTGTTGATGACCAATCACAAGATATGAACATATCCGAGTTCGATTTATATTGAAGAAGCAGTTGTCTGTGATATTAAAACTCTTAGTTTATCGTGAGGAATGGTTGTATAAAGTGTAAAAAAAAAAAAAAAACCGTAAGTTTTTATGCTACTGTACTGACTTTTGAAAAAAAAAGATAATTTAAATTTTCTAAAAATTCTTTGGAGTTTTTGAGAATCCACATCTGATTTACACCACTTCTAGAATATGCTGTAGCAGAGTAGGTCTGAAGTTTCTTCCTTACAGCATATATATTTTTTGAGGAGTAAAGACAGGGGCTTGGTAAAGCATTTGCTGGACCTGGCAATGTATCGTTGTTTGTAAGGATTTTTATGAAGGTTAGGAATCCAGTACAAGTAGGATAGATGGAACTCACCTACTTTGACTGGAAAGTTTAGATTATTAAAAACTAAAATTTGATTTTTCATCCTTCGAAAATGAATTGTAGTATAAGTTGGATTCCCAGACAGATTCAAAAGTCAAAACACCAAGTTCTTCTTAGATACAGTCATAATAATGAGCATGAGAAATAAAGACGATATTGTTACAAGCCTTGTCTCCTGGGACTATAACATACATGTATATTGTTCATGTAGTCTTTCCAATTCTTGTATTACCTCCGATTTAGTGAAGGATAGTATAAGGTGCGCATATTGCTTTTTAACTTTCTAACACGATTCTTTAATATATTTCTAAAAGCTCCCGTTCCGACAAAGTATTTAGTTCTTCCTCTTCAAATTTATCCCAACGTCTAGCATAATATTCGACAGAATTCATATTAGAAATGAAGTTCTGTTGCCAATTAAAAGATCAGGGCACAGTATATCTAGGACCTTTAAAGATGATTGCTTGTAGGTCGTTATTTTCAACTACATGTATATAGTACTGTAACAACATATTTGAGAAGTGGTGTTAATCAAATGTGGATACTTAAAAACTCCAATGAACATTTAGAAAATTTGAAATCACGAAATTTTACCAAAATCAGTAGCATCAAAATGTGTGACTTTTCAACACTTCATACAACCATTCCGCACGATAAATAAAGTTCAGGCTTTTTGATATCATAGACAGCTGCTTTTCTAATAAAAAAAAAAGTAACTCGTAAATTTACATATCTTGTCATTGGTCATCAACAAAATTATTTTAAAAAAACATTCTGATTGTACACAAGTACTCCGAAGTTAATATTGATACAAAGATGCTTGAGTTTCTGATTGACAGTATCTGTAAATGTATGTTTTGGACATCAAGTCTTCCTGTTGGAATTCCCATGGGTAATAATTGCACCCAGTTATTAACAGACCTATTTTGTATTCATATGAAGTTTTTGATGGAGCAGAATTTAATCAAATCTTCTGCATGAAAAGAATAAATCTCTTGCTGTGGCCTTCAATTCGACATTTAGAAATACCGGCGATGTTTTATCAATTAACAATATTTATTTTCATTCCTACATGTACGTTGATTTAAAATATCCATTTGAACTGGAAATGAAAGACAACATGAGTTTGACACCTCTGTTACAGATTTGGATATCTAGAAAAGGCCCATAATGACAAACTAACAACAAAACTTTATGATATTCGTGATGAGTTCGACTTTTCTATCGTCAATTTTCTTTATATATGTTGCAATACACAATTATCACCTGCATAGTTGATTCAATACGCAAAAATGTTTTATATTTGAGAATTTCTAAAACGAGGCAGGCTATTGACATATTAGTTGATGATACAATGATATCAACAGTCTCGTACGCGTTGAAGTCAACTATTCGCAAATTCTATGGTATGTACAATGAACTTGTTAGCTAACACAACTACCGTTCGAATTTTTCATACAAACTGTTAGGCCATTATTTTCACACTGAATTATGCCTGATCATGACAAGGAGCACACGGCGGATGTGACAGTCAACAGGGGATGTACTCCTCCATGGCACCTGATCCCACCTCTGTTGTTTTAAGAGATCCGTGTTTACTCTGCCCCCGATTTGTTTTGTTCCAATGGACCTTTGAGTTTGATTACTGTTCGTCATCTTTCATTTGTATGGATTAAAGAGACATATTGACTGCATATAATGTTTAATGCCTTCTAGGACCTATAAGTATCTGCTTGGTAAATGAAGAAAGTAAAAACCGTTATAACTTACGTAACAGTTTCCGGTACACCCTTTAAGCTAATATAACATGTACAAGACTGTATATGTATGAATTTAGTATAAAATGCTGCCTTTTTCACATAAGAAAATTCATAACAAAACACCGATTGCGTTCAATATTTTTTTTTCTTTACAAGATCTACTCGCATTACTTTGATTTCATTTCGTCAGTTGATTTACATCTTCCTCTTGTGCATGCAAGGGTCAATGTCTTGCTTTCATAAAAATCCTTTTCGTTCTTGAGCAAAACAAAATCTATTTTATGACCACAAACTTGATCGGATAAACTCCTTGAGTCAAATGTAAGCTCTAAATGATTACCAAGAATTTTATACCATAATCCTGACCTTTGATCTATAACATCTCATTTTACAATATAAAGGCCGAAGGGCTCATATTCCTCGTGCGCCAGATTTGCCTACAAGTTATATCCAGGAGTATTCAGATGTTTAATATGAATTAAGTTTTCTCTTTAATATTATCCTTAAAACTCTATTCTTTTCTCAAGTAGAATAAATTCAAGATGTTAGATATTTAAAATTTCTTTTCATATTAATAATAAAACTCTAATTGGAAGACAAAAGAAGACATACACACATCCCTCACCAAATTCAGAAACAAAAATTCTTATATTAAAGCAAAATCACCAAGATAAAACAATTCAGAATTTTTATTTTTCATATAATCAGCATCAGAATGGTAACACTTAGATTCATTTTAACAGTAAATGTCATATTTGATAATGTCGCAAAGTTATCACGACTAATAATGCATATACAGCAAGCATGTCGAACTCACAGGAAACAACATACAAAAAACATGTTAAAGAACAAGAGAGGATAATAACCGGATATCCAATGAAAATTTTTAAATATTGAGATCACGTGAATATCCTCCATTAATCTCAACGCAAGGAGTAGAGATGATGCATTATCAATTACAAATATGATTGGGGAAGCATCATGTTAAACCTACATAAAAAGTCACTATGCAGTTGGAAGTTACTTAGACAAAAGACTTTCAAAATTACTTTTCAAAAAAAGTAAGAATATGCAGACACAATTGGACAAGTTGGGTAAAATGAGCTTATCCAGTTACTGTATCAATGATAGTACATGTATTCATCATATATTTTCACTCTTTTGAATTACATGCACTACATGTAAGTATTACCCTCATATGAATATTTTTTTTTCATTTTAAACCAATACACCTAGAAAAGATTATAAAGATATCAAAAAATATGTTTTTTAGAGAGACAGAGAAAATTCAAGAACTAATGAGAAAAACTTTCTGTACATTTGACTACAGAATAAAGTTACAGGTCCCAAGAGATGTGGACTGAACTAGCTGTAATGGACGCTCGGTAGACATCCAATCCTTGTCCATCAACTACTTGTGCAAATCAATGAATGTTGTAAAGGGGCAAAAAGTTTCTTTGTCAAAGATAGATATTTATTTTCTTTCTTGGTCGGAATGCATCAGTGTGTCATTTTATATATCTTGGTATTGGTATTCTAGTTTGAATCAGAATAAGAATTAAGTTCTCAAATGTGTTTAAAATATGTTCATGTTAATGAAAAAGGACAAAGGTCCAATTTAAAAAAAATACATAGTAGTTTATAAAAAGGGGGCAAATGATGTTAAAGAACCGATTTAGCTATAATTTTATTTTGATAGAGCTCTGTTTATGGACAAGATTTTTTAGCATGCGATCAGCAGCGGATAACGATAATATCACGAAAAACAAAGCAATATAATATTACATCCTTTAAACCACTCATATGTACATCAACTGCCGGTTAATGAACCTTCTCTGATTTACAAGCTTCTCTTATCAAACCCAGATGACTCAAAACATGTGATACTTGTATCTATCCAATATTAGAAAAATTTCCGGGAAAACTGAACATGTTCAGTGCGGGTAGATCCTCAGAATACCACTACGCCACAGCTTGGAACGGTTGCTTTAAGGCAACATCTTCGTCTTCACTTTCCAATGAATTTGAGAAAACAGCCGTTCGGCACTCTAACAATAAAGCTATATTTTCTCCGTCATTTTGAACACCACTCTCAGGACTAGATTCACACTGTTGCACGGTACACCTTTCTAGTGTCATATCATTCCGGGATGCCGGTGTTAAGTACGGATTTCCGGATCCGGTATCGTCTTTACCAGATATATTAAATGCTTTTCTTTCCGTGGAATTTTTACCATCTCGTCTGTTTTCTAAGATATATGTTTTAGATTTAAATGAAGATAAATTCTAACTTTTCTTTAATTGACAGAATGACATGGAAATAAAGAATAAAGTAATTACCATTTGAATCTGGACATCTATCAAAAAGATCTGTATCAACATTTTCGAATCCTCCAGTAAGCTCTAAGTATTCCTTCAATTGAAATAAAACGGGGCAGCTCATTAAGTAAATCTCATGCAGACTAGCTTTTTTTAAAATGATTTTTTCTTTTTTTTCCTTTCTTTCTTTCTTTTTTTTTTTTAAAATAAAGTAAAAAATCTTACAGTTCTTTGTTGGAGCATTCCGTCAAAAATGGCAGTTAAATTGGAAAACACAGGTCGCTCAGTTGGGTCTGCTTTCCAACATTTCTGCATTACTGCATACCTAAAATATTTGATTAAAGAATTATTTTCTTTTGATTAAGAATAAATTGCTTTAAAATCACAAACTAGAGTTAGTGAGAGAAGTTAGAATAGTTAGTCAATATGCGACATTGTTACATGTAAACTTTCAATAAAATAATAAAATACACCATTAAACATAGGAATTACGGGAAGTCGGTATCCCTTCTACAAAGATATACCCAAACATTCAAGCAACATAACATGTGTTTTTACTTGAAATCAAGCTCACAGAAAGCGAATTCAAGTTTTATAACAGGACCATGCAATATTAATGCATCCATTTCTGAATCAAATTTAAGATTTAGTACAAGAAGTCGGAATATCTAAGAATATGATTTTTTTTTTGTGTTGGCCCAGGGGTACATGTAATTTTAGAACAAACTATGCTTGCTAAGAGGGGCACATGTACTTTGTTAATAAAAAACTTTGTTCGATGAGACTTTTAAGTCTTTGATTTATAAATATTCAAATTTAGTCAATTTTAACAAAAGATACAGTACCTTTCTCTTTATCGTTTAGCCTCACTCATGTATACATATCTTTGCACTACAAGTACTAGTCATACAATATATAAATTCCTCATGCAAATACTTGGGAGAAATGAGTAAAATTTTTGTTACTGAAATATATTTTTAGATCGAAAAAATGCTTTAAAAATATTTCTATCTCCAAAAAATTGGTTGATAATGTCAGATAAGTGCACTCTTGATCTATTTAGACAGTATTGAGGGCGATAATGATCTGGCTAAAAAGAAAGCTAATAGGGACAGGATCTCTAACAAATGCTCATTGTTCTTCAGATAATGGGTCATACACTTATCTTTAACAATCGTTAGCCTAATATCTCAAAAGGACTCCATTAAGCAAGAAGGAATATATTCCTGATATTTGTATATGTCACTTGATTTCACAATAATATTTATATAGGGAGTTAATAATCAAATTTGTTTCTGTTTTGACAACGATTATATTTTTGCGGTGCTAGAAAAAAAATATAAGCAATTAATTTCTTAAAAATGCAATTTAAACGTGGAACAAACCATAGTAATAAACGAGAAAGGACACTTCAGGTTAATTTCTGCGCAAATTAGAGCTTAAATATAAGCGTAAGCATCACGGAAACATTTGCAGTCATTATATAATGCATAGACTTAAATTTAAACGTGTGTAAGAGATATACCTGTAATATGACACCAAGAATTCTGTCCTCATAATAGTTTTTGGACATAAAATTAATTTTAAAAGAGTATTTTGGTTGCATTTTTACGTAATATTTATAGTTGTGATAAAATCAAAAATAGGCACATAATGCATCATTTTATCAATTGTTGTATTTCTGTTTGGTCGCTCCATTTACAAGTACTTAACAGGTGAAACTAACGTCTTTACAACTCACAGTTCATCAGAGCATCCCTCCGGCCGATCCATCCTATAGCCTGCTATCAGTAGGTTATACAGTCTCTCTGGTGGAACACCGGGATAAGGTGGGGCCCCTGAAAACGGCAGGTTTTTCTCTGATACTTTCGCATAACTATATACCATTTTACATACGTTATAAATACATGTTTTATGTTTATAGCTTATTCAACCGCAATATAAATACCTAATGTGACAATTTCCCACAACACTATGCCAAATGACCATCTGAAAATAGAATATATTGGATTCTCATTCATTAAAAGCTAAGGCCATTCCAAGTTTTTTCTCCGTTTAGCGTCCACCCATCTTTTAAAAACCCACCTACCTATTCGCAAAAAACACACAAACCAAAAAATAAAACACGGACTTCACAGTAATAAAGATGACATCATTCAAAGAATTTGATTTCATGAATCTATTTTTCTCATAGAAATATCTTTTGTTTTGTAAAATCAAGGTATTAAATGCTTGAAATATACATAATATGACATACTAGAGAGAAATATTTAAAGAACTTGACAAATTTCCGAGATTTTGACCAAAATAATCAATTTTAGGACTCCTGATTTTGTATGTTTTTTCTTAAATGGGGTGCCTAAAACCAAGGTGCACGCGGACGCTAAACATAGAAAAAACTTGGAATGGCCTAATATATACAAACACAGAAATAGGTTTTTCTACAGAGTCACAATAGCTGACATTTCTGCTACAGCTAGGAGCAAAACATATCAATTCCTTCAATATCAAGTTGACCGTTAAAAGGAATATAAGTAAGGGAGAAAAAATCCTCAATATTTTAACTTTCATTTTTTTCAAAGTGAAATATACTCTACAGAAATCAAATATATATTGGATTACTTACACGTCGCTCTGTGTGGTATATATTTGGGCATACAAAGATTCAGGGGCCAGCCATTTAACAGGTATCCTTCCCTGTATGACAGATATAAGAGTTATCATTCTTGTAACTGCTTCCTTCTCCGAACTATTGATTTAAAACACCAAGTGTGCAAAGGCACTTATAAAGACAACACTGGCGATCGAAATGACTTTATCCATTAACTGATATTTTTTCATTAATGGTTGTAATACTAGGTTATTCATCAATTTCTGCATATCTTTAATTTTATCAACTACTTCGAGAAGGCCCCTAGCTGTCTATTAAATTTTTTTTGTGCACTCCTGGAAGGTTAATATCCAAAGTTAATAAGATACCATAGACATTAATGTTGTGAATTTGCAAGTACAGATCAACAACAAGACTTTTACTGGCTTTTGGTAGAGCATTTAGTTATTTACCGAACAAAGTATTTCTAATTTTAGAGGCTTCATGTACTAATTGCTAGTAAAAAAGCTACGTACATGTTACTAAGATACGTACACATTGCAATCCCAATTTGTTTTGAATTATGTGTGTGGAGGTAAATTTTTAAATACACAATAATTATCTTCCATATTGTAAATTTTGTATTTCCTTCCATACAGTAAATTAAAATTTACAGCAGGATACTTCATTTTTCCAATTTTCCAAGAAAGATTGTGACTTGGTATACCAGGTCAGCCTTTGGATTTTATGAAGGTTTTAGTTCAGTTTCTAAGAGATGGATACTCTACAATGTAATGCATGCATAAACTGTATTTAATTGTAGTTTCTCGTCTGATGTTTTGTTTTGTTTTGTTTTTTTTGGCGGGGGGTGGGGGTGGATTAGGTTGGGTTGTATGGTTGTTTTGCTATGTTGTTCTAATTGTTTGATTTGTTTTTTGCAGAGAATACCAGTGACTTTAAGGTTAATATTAAGCAAATGAAATATTTTTCATGTTCTTATAATTTGAATTAAAAAAAATTGAATTTAAAAATTTATTCTTGTCGTAATATGACTACATGTATCAAAAAACTGAAAAAGAAAGAAGGTAACTATTAGTATAAATTTTAGCAGAATGAATTTTCTAGGTTTGCAAAAAAATCTATTTTATCTTACTCACTTTACTTCTTTTGAGATAGGTATCGGCTTCATACACATCTCTAGTAAGACCAAAATCAGAGATTTTCAATACTTTCCCGGTACCAACCAAGACGTTCCTTGCAGCTAAATCCCGATGTACAAGCTTCAATGAGAAAAATGTAAGGTTCATAAAAAACACATGGATAAAAGTAAGAAATATTAAGAATTTAAGAAACAATCAAGGAAGTCATGAACTAGGTATGCTTATCCTGAGGGGTAAATTTTCTTCAGATTGGTCTTTGATAAGAATTTTATTTATATTTTATGCGTTTGTGCCTGTGTTTTTCCGTATTACCTAATTCAACAAAATGAAAGTGACAACTATCGTCTGCTACCTTGATCTCACTGAGATATTGCATTCCTTTTGAGATCTGCCAAGCAAACGACAAAAGATCTCTGATATTCAATAATTCCGGCTCTGTGGAATCCCCGCTCTCTGACTGGAACCGGAAGTATCGTCTGCTCCTATGATTTATGTAACCGTTCTCCTCCAACCTTGAGTTCCTGAGATACTGAAGAAGTGAACCGTGTTCACAGTACTCGACTATCACGTAGAATGGACCTGTTGTATAAAATGAGTAAAGTGAACCTTAATTTGCTTCCTCTATTCACTATGCCATAATTTGTAATGGGTGTGTATATAGTATATCAAAGACCTAACAGTGAAATATTACAACCGAATAAGTAGTTTTAAATGTTATGTTTTGGATTTCAGGATGAAAAACTTTAAATGTGCTTTGAAATTTTAGAAAACGTAAAATATTAATTTCTTTATCTAAGAATCTATGATATCAGATTCATAATAATTACTGTGATTGTAACAAATCAGCAACTTATTTTGAGCATCTGAAAAATCTTTTCAGGTCCTTCTAATTGAGATGAAGAGAGAAATAACTCGAATTGAGTACCGTTTCTGGTGCAGGCGCCCAGTAGTTTTATGACATTAGGGTGGTCGATGTCCTTCAAAAGATTGTATTCTGACAATAAATCCTGTAGCTCACCATTGGAATCGCAATCTGGATGAAAGTTTTTAGTCATGAAACGTCACGATGGCAAATAGAGGGAAAACAAATTAAAGCTTCTTCTTTCACTCCAAGAAATAAATTAAAAACAACAAAATATTTTAAAATATGATATCAGATTATTCGTCTTTTCTTAATGATTGACATAGTAAACTTAACCAAATAAAACCTTTAATATGTTGTTAATGGACTGCTGTATTTCTCAGCGTTATTGTCTGGTCCTTACTTTTCAGCATCTTGACAGCTACACATTTATAGTCTTCACGACCATCCATTCCATAAGCTTTAGCCTTGACAACACGTCCAAACTCTCCTTCCCCCACGGTCTCGTCTAGTATTAATTTATCACGAGGAAATTCCCATTTATGATCTTCACCAGCCTGAAGATACAGTAAAGAACATTATGTCGCTCCTGTGAGTAACATTTAATAAATAAGTCCAAGAATGAGACGATCTGGATAATGTTAACTATTGCAATGCGAGGCAAGTAGTTCATTTGTATGCTCAGTTGACGGTTTTTCAATGCCTCAAGAGTAAGATCTTAACTGTTGTGGTGGAGAATTTCCTCCTAGGTATTCAATAATTCCCTTTTTCTTTATAACAAAACTGGTATTCTATATTCCCTCAAGATAGTTTCTCAGCATTTTGTGAAAGATCATTTCGAAGTTTTGTTTGCTAGCAATTTGTACCGCATAACAAGTTTTCCCTGATACAAACAATTTATCGTATTAATTTTATAAACCAATGCAAAAACATGAAAATGTTTTTAAAAAATTCAAAGTAGCATTATTTTATATACCTGGAATTGAATAGATATTAGATCTATTTGTCATGTTATCAATAAGAATTTGTGGTCATTTTTAATGTTTAAAATTACTCTTGTTCTTGAAACTGACTTTAAAAAGATTTCCTTTTCAGTATTAGATTAATATTGAAATCTATGTAAAACAATAATTAAAAAAAAAAAAAACGTCGGCTTTTCACTGCACCGAAGGAATAGTAAATTCGATGCACTAAAAGCAAACTTATTTACAAACTTAACAACTATGCAATAAGAAATGAGATAGAACACATGTTCTCAACGATAAATTTCTCCTCGCATTGAATGTGTTGGCACAGCTTCATCTGGAACTTGCTGCAGAGTAAACTTCATTTGAAGAAAGTCTAGAGTTATCTTGCTCCAGTGTATCTTATGGCTGATCAAGACAATATGGATTTCTACATTTTGGAAAGATAACCATTTACAAGCAAACCAGAGACCAAGACCACTGTTTTGTTTTAAACCAACTGAAAGATCAACAGAAATCAGTAGTCATCTACGACAAGGAAAACCAATGGTGCCCTCGACTATCACAAGCCGAAACATTATTAAAGAGGCAACTTTGCAGGGAATGCAACTAAGTGAAAGTTAAGTATTAGCAGTAGTAGAGCTGCTTGTCTAGTACAATCATGAAACCATCTGAGACTTTTCAAAGCTGAGTGGGCATGCTACGAGACTCTTATGACACAGAAAGATTGGCAAACAAGGTAAGCATTGCAGATCATAATCCCACTGAACAAATTTTGGATTTGAGTATAAAGAACGCCACATCTATTCCTTTGCGAAGTAATATCCAAGAAAAATAAAGCTCTGTGCAAAAAGTGTGGCAAGTAATCAAGGAATTATCCAAAGTTTGAATAATTTGGCATTGCTTAGTAGTTGCAAGGAGGTGGTCATACTTTCAACAAATGATCATGTGATAATTGGTTAGGAGGTATGAGAGTCTTTCCTTTAAAAGCATGCGAGATATTTTAACTGCAATTTATGTTACTTCTGAATAATACATGATCTTTGAATAAAGGCCTATGAAAACTTTTCATTTTTTAACTTTAAGAAATATCTAATGAACAGATTTAAGTATTGAATGTACTATTTCTGTAAACATTCTAAATTTCTTTTTTATGAACCTCTACTTAGCATGCAGTTAACGACTTGACAAAGATTTTTTTTTCCAATGTGCATAATCATCAAGGTTTATCTGGTTTATCTAACTTATTATCAATATTTATTTAAAATAAGAATTAATGACAAAATAAATTGATTTATTCAGCATAAATCGGTTGTAAACGTGAAAGACTTTTAGTCGTCTTTGAGAACCTTTAATCCTGCTGGAAGGTTGAGGAGACACATACTATGCACTGCTTCTAAATAATCACAGTTTTCCGTTATGCAACGAATAATTTCAAAAGGTACTTGGGTCTGACAAACTAAAAATGGATATATCTAATCGATTTATGGCTCCTCGTACCTAATCTCTGTATTTTAATTTGTCACAGCGAAGTTATTGTAGAGGTTAATCAATGATTATTAATATTTTGTTATAGAAAATTCTATTCTAACACTCTTCAGATACTTATTTTGAGTCCTTGTTTGAAATCTGAGGCAAAACTATTCATTTTTTGCGATAATATCCGAAGGAGAAAATCGTTCCCGTAACACAAGTGCCTTTTACTTCTCAAAAGTAAAGTATTCCTTAACAACTTTTAAATATAGAAGTATTGACAAGTTTTGATTAATGTACCAGGACTTTGGGGACACGAAGGTCATGTTCTTTGTGTTTTCAAGATTAAATGGGAAATACAATAATAATTATATATGTGGCGAAACTGGCTTGCTTTATTATGTACCCACATTTTATATGTCTAATGTTGTAGAACTTGAATCTCTGCTTTGTACTTAAACTTCAAAGCAATGTAACCTTCAAACTCGTCCTACGTGAAAGTGAGCAGGTACAAAGATGATTCTTTATAATTAATATTTGATTTCACTTCGTTGATAGAAAATGATCAGTTTCTAGATCTAAATGATATCAACATACATGACACGTACTCCCCATCCCCCTTTGCTATCCATATGACATGACACTTTTCTTTTTTTTTTATATTCAAATAAAAAAATACTGAGCTGGTAAACATTTATACGATACCGTCACAAAACAAACATTTTTTTGACGGAATGTTTATTTTATTTCCCCATATCGGCGATATTTTTCAAAAGTAAGGTCGTCTTAAATACTAATTAATCAATGGAAACATTGTTTCAAAAATAAGATTTTATAGATTTAATTTTGTGTCGTTAATATTTTTGATCAATGAAATAGAAACCCCACAAAATTATCACGATCTTTACCAAATCCCACAATAATCACATAAAGTCGTATGTTTGTCAGCCAATGTTGTAGAAATTAAGTTTCGAGGCATATTCATCGTTAATCGAGCGTTAACCAAACTATTGATTCACTAATAACTAATCTTGCTACATTGACGCGGCTTTTATCATAAAAGATATAAATTTCCATACCTAAGCTTTTTTTATTTACAAATGTGCAAATATGAAATAAAAAAATCGGTCAAATGACTACCCAAGGCACAACACATACCGTGCTATAATCTGGTGATCGTTTTGGGGACCATTGCGGAGATGTATGGGGAATCCGATAATCCTCGTGATATTCTGAAGGGACACCGGAAATTGATACAGTACTGCCCACGTGTTTCAAAGGTTGACCCTTTTGACAATGAATCCGCCTCAGCCGCCATGTTAGAACTATGACGCAGACGATGGCGCCCACACAACCTGTGACGGCCGCTATGGTGGTGCGGCAGTGCCAGTCACACCCTATACCCGAGTCCCTCCGTGACTGTGCTGTGGAAGATGAGACTACAAAAAATGCTATCTTTTATAGCTCACCTGAGCCGAAGGCTCAGGTGAGCTTTTCTGATCAAAGAGTGCCCGGCGTCCGTCTGTCGTCTGTAAACTTTTCACATTTTCGACTTCTTTTCAAGAGCCACTGGGCCAATTTCAACCAAACTTGCCTAAACCATCTTTGGGTGACGAAAATTTATGTTTTTTCACAGGAAGTGCCATGCCCTCTTTCAAGGGGAGATAATTAAGAGTTCGTGAAAATTTGGTGGCATCTTTTAAAAATCTTCTCAAGAACCACTAAGCAAGAATTAAAATTCTTCTGTTTAAGAACAGCAAAGCCATGATTAGTAATAATAATATGGAAGCATCCTGAGTTAGTGCAAATTTAAGTTTGTCCCCACCCCCCTATTCAATACCGAACTCCTAGCCAGTGTGCTCAGGTGAACAATATGGCCCTTGGGCCTCTTCTTTTATATTGGGAGACGCACATTCACTGAAAGTGAATGACCGAACTTGACACTGGAATTATTTTTTGATATTATATGGAATAATTAGGTTTACTGTTATTCTTATTGTTTGACTGATACCTTTTGGTGTAAAAGGATAGTCTGAGAATTCTTGTCGCCATGTTGTAGTTTCAATGTTATTTTTTCTAACTGGTCGTTTCTCCTCGACTTTTAACGTTATATGGGAAGTTGGAATGAACTTCTGAAATGAGGATGGTCTAAAACATGAGCACTCTCCGGCGTAGTTACACCAACAAGGACTGGTTCCGGAGTCAATGCCCCGAGGGGGAGAGTAGTCCGTGTTAAGAGCCCCCTCTCCTCGTATCGTCGATGCTGTAATAGGTTGAATTTGAAATCTTAGAATTTTTTGTTCTCTGTTTTCATATTTGGAATTACTTCATTGATAAAACATAATAATATATTACCTATCAATGAGTTACTTTGTTTCTTTTTAGTATCCCCATTTGTCGCCCCCCCCCCCCTAAAATGACCCCCCCCCCTTGAAAAGCACTAAAAGTAATGTCATAAAATTTATTAAAAGTTTCTAACTAACTAGGTGTGGAAAAAAATTCTGAATATCCAGAGCTGTTAAACATTTAGATGTAATTAATCTTACTAGTACAGTCTTGTGGACAAATGAGAATATCTAGAGCTTCTCTATCATCACACATATGGTCTGTACACGTTTGTAGATCCGATACACAAGTAGAAAACTTCCGAGAATAACTTCTCTCGTCTCCAGATCGCCAGCGACATCTTCCATCCACAGAACCAAGGCCGCAACCCGAGTTACACGACATCTCATCCATGTAACTTGCACATGTTACATCTGGAATGATACAGTTTTACATTTAACCAGAAGTCTCTAACGAGACTGAAGCTCTACTGATGTGTACTCGGTAGACCTTAGTATAGTGTTCGTTTACCAAGTCTTAATGACATTGGAACAAAACTGTAGAGGAGTTGCGTTTTGAAAGAATTTCATAGAAATTTCTAATTTTAGTAACCATAGTAACATCGTTGTCAAAAAATAAAAATTAATGTATCTTATCTGTTATGCGATATCTTAACCGCGGTATCTTGGTACAGTGTACTTGTGTACCAAGTCCTATTGAAATTGGACCAAAACTGTATGAAGAGTATCGTTTTAAAAGAAAGTTCTATTTTTAGTAACCATGGGAACACCAATTGTCGAAATAAAAAATATCGATAATCAGAATTACGTTTCTGAATAGTGTACTTGTGTATCAAGTCTTATTGAAATTGGACCAAAACTGTAAGTATAGCGTTTTGAATGAATTTCACAGAAATTTCTTTTTTTAGTTACCATGGCAACATCGTTTGCCGAAATCAAAATCTGATATATAAAAAAATGTTTCTTAGTATGTACCTGTGTATATCAACTTATTTAAGTTAGACCAAAACTGTAGAAGGAGTAACGTTTTGAAAAACATTGATTACGGGCTGACAGACGGACGGGCGAAGACACTTTACTATCTTATAAACACTTTCGGTCTTTGACCAGTAGAGCTTATAAAATTGTGAAATCCAACTCTCTTAATCATAAAGCTAAGATTGAATGCCAAATTTAGATTAGATATACTAAACTGAGCAAATTCATTAGCAACATGCGTTCAGTATTCTGAAATTGGCAACAAAAGATTTATATATCCTAATTTGATACATATTTTTATTCTATTACAAAGTTGTCGAATTGGAAATGAATAAAAATCCTAGAAAGGAATATCATTTAAAATTGCAAATAAATGTCGAATGTTCATTGAAAACATCAACAGAAACACTTACTACATAAATTGTCGTCTACATGATGGAGGGGGCCTTCTATATTCACCACTAGCGTGATAGTATGTGCATGATTAATCGTCAAGTTTACTTGGGAGTTTAATTTACGTAATAACGTAACGTCATCTACATAAACTATCCCGGAAGAAAACGTGACGTGAAAAGCACGACTAGAATCTCGAGATAAAGCAAAAGCGTCCTTCTCATCATTCGGGAAATCATATACCTGCAAATATAGCAAAATTATAAATGTAATTATAGCAGCTACATGTTCAAGTGTTACTTTTAATGTGTTTTATAACCTACACGTGTATAGGTCCCATCCTATCCCGAAGGCCATGATTTGAACAATTTACAATCTACACTATCTCAGGAAGCATTCACGTGCATGTTCACCTTTTCTGATCCAGCGGTTCTAGAGAACAAGATTTTTAAAGATTTTTCCCATATATCTCAATGAAAGACTTTGATTTCCTATCGTGATCCCACCCTAACATGGGGACATAATTTGATTCATTTACAATCTACATTACCTCAGGAAGCTTCCAAATAAGTTTCATCTTTTTTGTCCAGAGGTTATTGAGAAAATCTTTCCAATACGTATATTTCAAGGTAAAACTTTGATTCCCCAATGTGGCCCCACCCTACCCCAAAGGCCATAATTTGTACAATGCAACCTACACTAGCTCAGGAAGCTTTCACATAAGCTTCATCATTTCTGGTCCAGTGGTTCTTGAGAAGATTTTTAAAGATTTTTCCTATACACTTAAATTTTAAATTTGATTCCCTATTCTGGTCCCACTCTACCCCCCAGGGGTGGGGAGGGGGCATGCCTTGAACAATTTATAATCTACATTACCTCAAAAAGCTTTCATATAAGTTTCATCTTTTCTAGCCCAGTGGTTTTTGAGAAGATTTTTTAACGAACCCATACCACCCAATTTTGCTTATCTTGATTGCCTTATCTTTGGATGGGGGAGGGGAAATGATGCTCAGATGAGCTAAAAAAAATAATAAAAGGAAGAAAGAGTTTTTAGGTACTTGTTTTGCGTCAGCCAAATTAAAAAAAAGTCCAACAGTAACAAAAAGAATCAAACTAAAATGAATAAAGAGGTTTTATGGTTCAGAAATACGATGATATACCCAAACACACATGTATTCAGCGCTCTATAACCGAAAATAAAATTAATTTTTAAAGAAAGAGTTTACACAGTTTTGTCCATTTCCCAATCCTTATTGAATTTATACAATAAAATCTGTTCAATTAAAACTCTCGAGGTATATTATTCATATTTAAACGAACGATTTGACTATCTTTTTAACAATAACAATTTGTGTTCAAAACAATTTTTGAAAAAAGTAAAATATCTTGTTAAATATTACTTGATGAAAATTATATTTGCTTTTCTAAATTTCTTTGGGGCTTCATAAAGCTTTTTGCACAATGGAGCAGAACAGAAATTATAACTCTGGTTCATTGATAAAAGACACGAATTTGCCAAGAAATACATGTAGCCCCAAAGTATTTGTTTCTATTAAACATACCTCTATCACAATTATTTCAAGTTTTATACATGGCTAGTATAAGTACTTGGTCTGTATTGGAATTACCTTTGCATATCTAGAGGCCATTCTCGAAATCCTGGTGTAAAAGATGACGGTCGACTCCTTCATTGTTTTTCGAGATTTCTCCGATGGAATAATAATGGTGAGAATTGCCTAAAAATAAAATAATGTTTCTTTTATTCATTCTACGATTAACTTGTTAAATTATGTAAATTAGCTAGTCTAAGGTGACATAAGATTTTAACTTGTGCTGATGTTATCAAAATACTCTGTTCCATCAACTTCTCAATTTTTTTTTCAAATATAATAATCACTTGAAATTTCATTCTCAGCATTAGTACTGATTAACAAGAGTTTTCGGCTGAAGAAATTTTGATCTACATCTTTAAACGTGTTTCAAGTTAATTGAATATCAAGATATGATAATCTTTCCAATAAAGAAAGTTAAACGTATCTCCTTATTCAAGTAAATATCTTTCCAACAGAAAGATAACCTTTTTCCTATAAATATATGCCCCCTTTTCAAAACTAGATTTTTTTTCCACAAGGAAAATCCTTTGAGGGAAATGTTTTCACCAAATTACATTAAAAGAGATACTTTTCAGTAATAAACAGATATGTCCATATGTATTTTACCAAATTATATTTCTAGAGCAAACAAGATGTGTTTGTGAAACACTGATGCCCCCGTATGGCAGCTTATGGTGAAGGTTAAAGTTTCTCAAATGCAAGTCAAACTCCAGGTCAAGAGATCAAAAATGTTGGTACCCAAAGAAAGGTCTTGTCTCAAAGAAATACACTTGTGAAATATGAAAGCCCTAGCACCAACTGTTGAAAAGTTATGGCGAAGGTTAGTTTTTTTAAAAGTAAGTAAAACGTCAAAGTCAAGGTCAAATGGTGCCCAAGGGAAGGTCTTGTCACAAGTGATACACATTTTCATGAAATGTGAAAGCCCTAGAACCAAACGTTCAAATGTTATGGCCAAGGTTAAAGTTTTTCCAAAGTAGGTCTAACTCCAAGGTCAAAGGGTCAAAGTTGTTGGTATCCAAAGGAAGGTCTTGTCACAAGGAATGCACATGTGAAGTATGAAAGCCCTAGCACCAACTGTTTAAAAGTTATGGTCAAGATTAAGGGTTTTTTTTTCAAAAGTAGGTCAATTTCAAGAGTCAAGGTCATAGGGTCAAAGATGTTAGTATCCAAGGAAGGTCTTGTCACAAGGAATATACATGTGAATTATGAAAACCCTAGCTCTAACTTTTAAAAAGTTATGGCCAAGGTTAAAGTTTTTTTTTCAAAATAAAAGTAGGTCAAACTCTAAGGTTAAGGTCAAAAGGTCAAAGTTGTTGGTATCCAAGCAAAGGTCTTTTCAAAAGGCATACACATGTGAAGTACGAAAGCCGTAGCTCTAACTGTTCAAAAGTTAAGGCCAAGGTTACAGTTTATTTAGAAGTAGATCAAACTCCAAGGTCAAGGTTAAAGGGTCAAAGTTGTTGGTATTCAAAGAAAGGTCTTATCACAATAAATAAACATGTACAGTTTGAAAGCCCAAGCACCAATTGTTCAAAAGTTATGGCTAAGGTTAAAGTCTCATAAAACTTTGCAAAAGTGGGTGAAACTCCAAGGTCAAGGTCAAAAGATCAAATATGATGTGGTAGTTAAGAAAGGTATTATCACAAGGAATACACAAGTGAAATATGAAAGCCATGGCTCCAACCAATCAAAAGTTATGGGCAAGGTTAAAATTTTTCAAAATTAAAGTAGGTGAAACTCCAAGGTCAAAAAGTCAAAGTTGTTGGTATCCAAAGGAATATCTTGTCACTAGAAATACACATGTGAAGTATGAAAGCAATGGCACCAACTGGTCAAAAGTTATGGCCAAGGTTAAAGTTTTTCAAAAGTAGGTCAAACTCCAAGGTCAATGGGTCAAAGGTGTTGATATCCAAAGAAAGATCTTTTCACAAGGATTACACATGTGAAGTTTGAAAGCACAAGCACCAACTGTTCAAATGTTATGGCCAAGGTTAAAGTCTCATAAAATTTTGCAAAAGTGGGTCAAACTCCAGTCAAGGTCAAATATAATGGTACCCAAAGAAAGGTCTTGTCACAAGAAATACACATGTGAAATATGAAAGCCATAGCTCCAGCCAATCAAAAGTTATGGGCAAGGTTAAAGTTTTTGCGGACAAACAGACAGACAGACAGCTGACAGACAGACAGACAACTAGACAGACGGACGGACAGGGCAAAAACTATATGTCCCGAATCTTCGATTACGGGGGCATAAAAAGTAATCTTTTCTTTAAGAAATTCTCTTTGCAAAAGAGACATCTTTTTTGAGTCTATGAGAGATATTTCCTTTGTGGTAGATATCTCTCACTTTGATAGTGTGGGATATCTCTTTTCACATTAAAGATGTTTCTACATAGAAAGAAAATTTATCTTGTTAAGAAAAGGATATCTCTTTCAGTAACACAGATATCTCCTTTAATAAAAAAAATATATTTCATTTGTATTGAGAAATCTCATGATTATAGACATATCTCTTTATCATAAAGTAAGAACTATCACAGAGAGATATAATGTTATCATGGAGGGATTTCTTCGTAAAAAAGATATGATAATTTCTTTAAAATGGTGAAAGGGGCTTGTAATGTATAAATGAGAGGGTCGCTTAAGTTTCTTAGATATTAGATATTAGATACTTAGAGTGTGTGAAGTCCTTGTTTCTCAGCATAATTTCATATTTTTCATCTTTTGTGTCTTATAACACTGAAGAAATAAACATTTTAATGGGCTTAAAAATATTAAGCAATCTTTGGATATAAGAGACACCCAGTTACAAAATGAATTGACATGATTGGTGGAGCAGAGATTTATATTGACCTAGTTTCTTCCAGTGTAGAACAGTTTCTGTGTTAGAGCTACTTTTTCTGGCATGCAAAATGTTAAATCTCTAATAAGATCTCTAATACCAGGTAAGTCTGATTGCTTATCATATACTAGTAAAGTATGCAGCAATATCATGTATGGAAAAATCCATCTCTCTACAGAAAAAAAAACTGAAACACTCTTGCCATAAAGGTTGCAATTCTAGAGAGAGGTCAACAAATTCTGAGAGAGAAAAGGAGCTAATGTCGATCACATACTTTCTCCATGAACCAAGAAATGAATAAAGGAGAAAAAAAGAGCTATGTTAACAAAAACCCTGTCAGAGCATTCAGTACTCCTTGTTCCTTCAGAACCTACGTTAGAAAATACATGTATAGCTCATGTTGTTGGAACTCTTATTCTGTTTTGATGAGTGATAGTTATAATGAGCGACTGGAGACATCTTTTAATGAGACTTCTCCGTGAATTAGCTGCGAATATGTAACTCGTTGGTCCGAAAAATTGGGTTGAACGATCAGAGAACTTGCCGTGACACACCTTGAAAAAAGTGTATATTTATTGCGCACGAAAAAACTGCGCTGTTGAACTCCAATTTATTACTAACCATGTGTTCCTAACATACTAGTATTCTTTTACTACTATTTCCACAACAAAACTTCATATACAAGCCTTTTGCGAAGCTCGTAAGACCTGATTGTCTGGCAGTATTAATAGTTGAAAATTTTGTTGGTCTCAATTTCAAGCCCAGGAGAGCTATTAACAATGGTTTAAGGGAATGTTTTGGAAGTAGTAAAAGAATATGTTAGGATCACACGGTTGGTAATGTTTTGAGATAACACTTAAACATACTGAGAAATAAACCGAGAAACAGCACACTTTTGTCCGCAATAAATACTAGTACCGGGTATACACTTTTTTCAATGGGTGGCACTCTAGCTTTCTGGTCGTTACATCCCAACATTTTTTTTTCAGACCAACAAGCTACAGATCTGCAGCTATCCATGAACTGGGAATCAGAACTTTAGAGTTCAATCGTTCAGCTGCGCGACTAGTCGGGTCTTACAAAAAATGTGTTGGGTATAGTGACTTTTCCACGCCAGATTTCTTTGCACAACCAAATCATAGGTCTAGACATCCCTAATCACGATCAATCCATCAATTACTATCAAAATCAGCTTCCATCTTCCAATTATTCTCTGTTAATATTAGTTCTGTAAAACTCTCTCTCTCAGTAGACTAATTTTAAAGTTTTATTCGTTCAGACAAAACCAGAGAAAAAAAAAAACAAGTAAAATGTATTCAGAAATGGGAACTCCGTAGTAATGGAAGATAGAATATAAAAAGTGCTGCTAAAATATAACCAAAATTTATTTTTCACACTTTAGTCCGTCATTTCCACCTTACATGCAAGTTATTGAAATCTCAAAATGCAGAGGCATATGGTAACTAACTGGACACGAGAGTCGTGTTTTGTGGGAACAATCCATTTGGAGCCTTCCTTTCTGTTTTCCGCCCATCCGTTGTCACCGATGATATATTCCAGACTTACACAAGTCAGCCATTAAACTCGTGTTATCTGCTTCTCTCGAATCCATTATTTGTCACGCAATGCAATAAATTTCAAGAGTTCCTCAGTTTGTATCGAGTATCGTTTGACAATCTGCTCAGATACCAATATTTTCTTTAACTTGAATATTATTAGTTATTAGTGTAAAGATCTAAACCATTATGAAGTTATATACACTGTATTTAAAATTCTCTTATCGTCCAGGTGATTAAGTTGTCGGGATATTGATTTTCTAATTTAATTTCATTAACTGACAACTTACCCCGTTGTTGTTAGAGTCTGGCAAGTTTATCATGGCAGGATCGCTCACTTGAACTTTACAAAAATGGTCAGTGCCTGCGTTGAAATTTTCTGGGCGTGTGATGTTCACCTCTAGTAAAATACAAAATATATTTCAGAACAATTGTTCCTTGTTTCTTTGGAACTAACTTGTAGCATAGCTTTAATTTTTTTTCCTGTAAAGCAATATCAGCAGCAACATTGGAGTCGGAAATTTTTGTGTCAATATTGTAATTAACTATTTCAATGACAGAAAAGAAGAACGTTTATAAACTTCTATTGTTAATATTTGTGATGGAAGAACTATTTATAAGCTTCGATTGAAGCAAAATTTCATTATTGTCATCCTGTACAATACTGATTTCTTAAATAATACTATACATTCCATTGTACAGAAATATTTCTTCTGAAAAAAAAAAAAAAACACTTTATTTTAGTCTAATTGATCATAAAGGTTTAAATTACATACAGATTTATCATAACAGCACATTTTAACAGCAAAATAAATTTTTTAAAAAAATGCAGCTCAAATTGCTTTAACAGATTGATAAACAAATGATATCACAATTTTCAACCAAAAACAATCCGAAAAAAATTTTTAAAAAAGGAGGCTGTAAGAAGATTTTTTTTTTATGTAGAAATAGCAAACCCCAATCTTAGTTGGTTTATAAATAACAATAGAAATTTAAACCATGACAAATCTATATAAATATAGGAATTTCAATTTCAATTTCAAGAGGAATAAAAAGAGAAATAAAGCTACAGTTCTTATCAAAAAAAAAAAAAAAAAAAATGTTATTGATTATCTTTCTGCACTAGAAACATAAGAAACTTCAAACCAAAAAAATATTAAAATCTAACTCGATATTTTTTTCTATTAGGAATAAGGTTTTTGTACTTCTAATGATAATGGTCTATGAACTTGTACATAACGTTATACATAAACATCAGTCGGATATATAACAGAAACAAGAAAGGATTCAACACATATTCAGTTTTTATAGTCTATCTCCTTGCAAACGGGAATCATTTTTTGCTATTAAACCCGATTATTTGAAATTTAAATCATGTCAGGGCCGTTCTTGTTACAGGTACATAATCTTGCAAGAATGCAAAGGAAATGGCGCCGTGTGCATTATGGCATATATAAAAAGAATATGAATAAAAAAATATAGTATTTCTATGTTCTCATTTGATCAACTATAGCAGGGTTCACCAAGTGATTTTCCAATAAGTTTCAGAGACATACAAAAGGTTTGTTGACCCCGAAATTTCCAAAGATGAAAATTGTCAACGCATCACCTTTAGTGTTTGAAACTCTGGGGGTATAAAATATCCCCTCACGTCGTTTTGTTTGCAGCCAGGGATTACTCAACGTTGTGGACAACAGAATTTATAGAAATGTTCTTTTTGATGATTTAAGTTCGAAAATTAAGTTATATATATGGGTAACTAGCGAAGAGGCAACATTAGTTATTCCACAATTTACATGAATATACATATTTCAAATTGAGCATAGAATGCCTTGGAGAGAGTGGTGGACCTTTTATGTAGCATTACATACAAAAATAATTAAAAAAAAATAATTAATACCAGTCTAAATCTGAAAAAAAAATAATAAAACATAAATTCTGTTTGAAAAGCAGTTTTGGGAAGAAAAAAATGTTGTGTTTAAAAAATTAAATTTCCGGCCCAAAATAAGGCTCTCCTACGGAAATGAAAATTCCTAAACCTTACTGCACATCTCCAGGACATCTACCAATCATATTTAGAAAGATGATTTGGCTACTGGAGTTCTGGGAACATGAATTGTGTAGAAAACATTTTTTCGGCCCATAATTGGCTTACAGGTTAATGGTTTAAAGAACTACGCACGCTAACTCTCGATTCCCGCCTACATTTTACACCCATTTAATTCAATACTAATGGAAATTTAGCCATAAAATCTTTGTTGAATGCAAAGAAGAGTTCAATGGTAATTGGTAGATAATTTTAATACCAGTGTTTAAAGTTAATTACTCTTAATTCCAACTTTTTTATAACGGGGGTAGACAATGTTTTCCATTAAAAGCGGGCTTTAAACCATCACCAGATTTTAAAATATTCTTGGATATAGATAAATGTTCCTTAAATCTTTTCTTATGTTTAATACATATAAAATTAAAACATATATGATTAATAAAATACTGTTTTAGTTGTAAACCATTTTGAAATTGGTGGGAAAAAATGCGCATTTTTGCCGTTTTTTGTCTGTAAACATATGCCCCCCATAACCCCCCCCCCCCCCCCCGTGAAACAAAATCTTTGGTATGAATTAGTTGAATAACAATTCTTTATACCCGTAAAAAGGAAATATTTTTCGTTTTTCATTGATTTCTATAGTGAAAATCACAAGTTTTACCAAAATAATAGTGTTATCTCTTTTTGAGTTATGTTTTGTGAAAATCCATATAAATATCTACCTGTATATGAATATGAAAAATTATTCAAATATGTTAACTTTTGAAAATTGACTTGGAGGTAGGCGGCAGAACAATACTATCGTTCGCAGTTCTTCCGAAACCTCTCATTGCATATTTGCAGGACACCACCAATCGTATTCAAACAATGATTTGTCCACTGTGAAAAATGTACATGGTTTTTGTAGTAAAAGTCGTTTATCGACCCCAATTGCTCTTAGGATGAAAATAAACATTCTGAAACCTTAATACACAACTACAGGACACCGCAACCATACATGTATTCCAAAAGCTGCGTTAAATGTAAGAACAGTTTTGGGATCATATTATTTGTAGAAAAAGGTCGTCTTTCGACCCCCAATTGGCCCCCAGGGTAAAAATGAATATTCTGAATCTTATTACACATATTCCATTTATTTGGTTAGTTATTCATAACTTCATAATATGGTATGAGAGAGCAAACTTAAAGAAAACCAAAGACGAAGGACACATATTGCATCTTTATATTTGCATAAAGAGTAGTAAAAATTAAGTATGATTTCGTGATTTTTTTTAATTTTCAATTTGTAAAAAATGTTTTAAAGATTTTTCTGATACTCTTTCACATTGATTTTCTTCATAACTTTTTTATAACTTTATTTCTTAAATGTTGTTTTTAATTGGCGTGTGTCAATTAGATTGCACAGATAGAGACGAGATTGAAAGTCGTTGGTTGTTCTTCAGATTGTTTCCTTTAACTCTACGATTAGCATCGTTGCCAGTTTAGAAGAGAAATAGATCACATGTAATTACTTTCAGTGTGACAATTTTAGAACATTGTTTGCTTGATGAAGAGGTAAAAAAGAGATTTTCAGAGTATACGACCTTCGAGCATATCCAGAAACTTCTTAGAAGCAAGCAAAGCATGTGCAGTTGGGGTTATCTTTTGCTTGATTATTAATTCAATATTACATAACTATCATGTTTGACATTGAACAAAGCGAATGAATGAAGGAAATCCACATGACAGGAAGCAAAGCCCGTGTCAATGTACAAGGGGTTCACCGGAAGTGTGCTTAACAATAGTACACAATACAACACGGAAATGTTAAGGTATCGCATTAACAACACGCCAGTAATATGCATATCGTAACACTTTAATAAAAGAGAACGTGTTTTGAAAATGTGTGAAGTAGATTGATTGCGATTAAATTGAATATCAAGGTCTAATGTCTGTTTCAGATGACATTATCGAGTGGCTTCAATGTGTTTTATTTGTTGATCACGTATAAAATACCCTTAAATACCCCTGGTTAGGAGACACTACTTACTTAATCTACAGACGGTATGTGCGCAGTTGCAAACGCTGTCGTCTGGTTGGCGTTTAACCTCAAAACATTGAACCGGAAGTGGATGGCAGTATTCCTGGCCTACCAAGACACTGATATCATGTTTTGAAAAATCCTTAGTGTCTTTATCTACGACCACCTCCACGACGTCTTTCTATGAAGAAAAGTAGAGAAGATATTTCTTAATAGTTTATTAATTTTACATTTACTAATTTCAGTAGAAGGTAGGCAAAATATGTAATTTATAGGCATTTTAATTTGATTATTGACGTCTTACACGTGCGCCATTTTCTTAATTTGATACAACTTATAGATAAAAAGATTCTCTTTTATTTATTCATTCATTTGTGTGTGTCTTTGAAAATTGCTTGGTGAAAATGCCAAAAACAGAAAGCTTATCTCAATTAGATGTACTATATGTCATGTGTGTCTATTGGAGTATATCAATTTCAGAAATTTCAACTCCTTTCTGCTTTTGAAATAAAACAAATAGTGAAATACGATAACTAAAACTTTTAGACCTACAAGATAATTAAAATTGGTTTTGTAAGATTTGCTGGTTCATTTATTTTAATGCAAATCAGTCGACCAACGAACATTTCATAAAATTTAAAAAAAAAAAAAAAAAAAAAAAAAAAAAAAAAAAAAAACCTAAATACTTTTTAAATTTAATTTTGCAAAATAGAACTATGACGATAAGAAAATAAATTACTAATGCATGGTTTACATTTTACCATAATTCATCAATATCTTGGTTCATGGCCTTGATAAGTACAGACTTTATGAATAACTAAAATATTGTTTAACATATCACCAGTTCATATGAGTATTTTGGTCTCGAATAAATCTAATACTATCGTGTTTTGAAAACCAATTTTATTTTTTTTAAGCCCAAGGCAGCAATTGTAGTATACAGTGTACATATATATTTAAGTTTTTATTTAATGTTATCCGATCAATTCCAAGGTCCATTTCTTAATAATGAGTGCAGGCATTTAAGCTAAGTGTTTGTAATTTAATCTTAAAATTAATTAAAGTTTTAATTAGAAACAAGATGTGTTTGTGAAACACTGATGCCCCCGTATGGCAACTTATAGCGAAGGTTAAACTTTCTCAAATGCAAATCAAATATGTTGGTACCCAATGTAAGTTCTTGTCCCGAGGAATATACCTGTGAAATATGAAAGCCCTAGCAGCAACCATTTAAAAGATATGTAAAAGGTAAAAATTTTTCAAAGGTATGTCAAACATAAAGGTCAAGGTCAAATGGTCAAAATTAATGGTGCCCAAGAAAAGGCCTTCTCACAAGAAATACACATGTGAAATATGAAAGCCCTAGCACCAACCGTTCAAAAGTTATGCCCAAGGTTAAAGTTTTTCAAATGTAGGTAAAACTCCAAGGTCAAGGTCAAAAGATCAAAGTTGTTGGCTTCCAAAGGAAGGTCTTGTCACAAGGATTACATATGTGAAGTATGAAAGCCCTAGCACCAACCGTTCAAAAGTTATGGCCAAGGTTAAAGTTTTTCAAATGTAGGTCAAACTCCTAGGTCAAGGTCAAAGGGTCAAAGTAGTTGGTATCCAAAGGAAGGACTTGTCACAAGGATTACACATGTGAAGTATCAAAGTCCTAGCATCAACTGTTCAAAAGTTATGGCCAAGGTTAAAGTTGGGTAAAATTTTGTAAAACTGGGTCAAACTCCAATGTCAAGGCCAAATATGATGGTACCCAAAGAAAGGTCTTGTCACAAGGAATACACGTGTGAAATATGAAAGCCATAGCTCCAACCAATCAAAAGTAATGGGCAATGTTAAAGTTTTTGCGGACCAAAAGATAGACAGACAGACAGACAGACAGGGCAAAAATTATATACCCCCGAATCTTCGATACGGGGGCATAAAAATGATAAAATAAGTAGAAAATGGTTATTTTTTTATGCTCATTTATCATCTGAACAGTTTGACGCAATATAGAATCTACCAAATTTCAAAACGATAAGATAAATATTTAAGAACTGACAACCCAAGGACAGGTGGCCTGCGACAACACCCGAGTTTTAGATGAAATGGTCACTATGTCAACAATCCTGACATTTTTAATGACTTTGTGATGTAGTGAGAGAGAGAGAGAGAGAGAAACGGACTTTGGAAAAGGGGTCAGGTTCAATGTATTAAGGTCCACAGTCCTTCATGACTCACATAAATTTTTGGTTTAACGTTATGACCTAGCAAAAGAAATCTAATCGATTGTAATAAAATACACAAAATTTCAACATACTAGTACTTAACAGGGCAAAAAACTGACAACAGAATGACATAAGAAGTGAGCTCTAAGTGTTGTTCTGCTTCGCAGGCGACACAAAAATAAACAATTATTATATGTCTAAATGTTAAACTTATTACATCACTTCCGGCGTTTATTTCCTTCGTCATGGTGTCATGAAACATTGGTGGGTTGTCGTTCACATCTGACACATGCAGACGAATCCTACCAAGAATAACAAAGTTTAGATTTCTTTGAACGAAATTAATGTCACACTTTACATCTTCGACTGAGATCAGGTTGGAATCGTGTTCTCTGTCCAACTCGCGAGTCAAACGCATCTCTGAGGAGACTTCGTCAACGGTTAATACATCTGAATCTGTTTTAAAAAATAAAAGATTAAACATTAACTTAATCATAGGTGTATATAAATCTCAAATCTATGCAAAGAAGATTGAATTGATATAATTGAAGCTTAGATGCATCATAGAAGCACAGGGAGAATACCGGGGAAAATAAATGGCTGTTACTATTCATTTTTACTTTCGCACTTGATTGTCACATCAAAATACTCATGAGGAATCTTAATTACATTTACTAATCAATATCTCAAGCGCCGGTTTATTTATTTCATTCAAAGTCACTTGAAGTACACGCTTTATCACAGCCACTTGATTAAATCAGTCGCCTCACCTAAATTGGAAACCTACCAACATAGTACGTTCTTTGTAATACAATTCCAGATATATTTTTAAGACAGTTCGATAGATGTCCCACAATGTTGTTTTTGTTTTTCTCTTCAATATATAAATCGATGGTCTCTGATTGAAAACAAAGTTTTTTGGCAGTTCTCTGTAGTTGAGTTCTGTCTGCAGATAATAGGTTTTGGAAATCACAGATTCCGTCATCAGCTACGTTGACGTTGACGTCGGCGCGTTCCAGACTGGATCCCAAGCCACATTCTGCACGTACAGTAAAACGGAAGTCACCCCTTCCTATCAATGAATGGGTAGAAAATATATAAAGGTTAAGATACTGACATTAAGTAGTCTTTTTGAAAATTATGAAACAAGCGTGAAGACCTTGTTATAAGGCATTACTTTTATTTTCTTCCAATATATAAATAAAAATGTGAAACAAACATACACAGAATATATAATTTTTGTCATAAAAGGACAGATTTGCAGATTAGATTAGTTGGGGAAAATGTGCAACGTAAATTTCATATTTCCTTTTTTCTTTTTTATATAAGAATTTATGAGTTAAAAAAAGTAGTTAACATTTTCTGACATTAATTTTAATGTGATACAGTATGTAAGTTACTCTTTTATTTTTTACTTCGAAGGAGAAAAAGTATTTGATAAACATTTCTTTTTTAGCCAAATTCTTATACTTCTGACTATTGGAAAATTCTTAAGATCGGATCTAATGGGAAAAGGGTAAAAAAAAAACTCAATGAAAATGCAGTTTGGCAATGTCATCAACTCTAGTTTTACGTGCATGGAGCCAAAACAAAGTACAATATACATGTAACTGTGTAACCATGGCACAGCGGTATTTAGAGAATTTAAAACCTGTTTCAAGTTAAACAAAAGCAAGTAGTTCAGCATTTTCGCCCATTCGTTAGTACTGTGTGATGATTCAATCGTGCTCTTAAGAATAAAAATTCTCATGAAATCTTTTTCCCCCAAACATGCTCGTGTAATACTCTAGGTACTTTAAGACATATTTTATTTTATCAAATAAGATCTGCTACATGACTATTTTGGGACTCACTTATATATATAATTCATTTTCATTAATGTTATTTTTCTATCAAAGTTCATTTGTATTTTTGTAGAAGTCGTTTATACACCATAACTGTCAGTCTTACGAAGAACAAGAAATTAGATAATCTCGATATCGACCATCGGCTTTTGTTACAACCCCACCTTAATTCAACATTGTGACTTATATCATCATTAAAAGCAGCCATATTCAATATCATTGGCATAGGTAATAATGCCAGCTATTTGATGCCCACAGGGAAATTACTTAGCCAGTGGTCCATTCGGCGTAATTCGTCACACTGGACAAAGTTCTAGAAATTCTGTATCATGTACTTTGTCTACCATTGGTTGTCAATGTGCCAAGTAGCTGCGTAAAAAGTATATAGAATCTTATACTCGAGCATTAAAAATTCATGACTTGAAGTGAAATGGATGATTTTTTTTCACATTTCCTACAGGGGTTTTGTAACAATCGTTATATCAGCAAATAGTTCAATTCCGTACTATCATCTTTATCAATTTTCATTGAAAATTTCCTTTACAATTAGAACTGTCAGATTTATAATTAATTCTGTACCTTCACTGAGAGCTTAAATGATTTACTAGTAATTGTATTTTTATCAACTGAATATTAAGAACTGGAAACTTTGGTAATTATAATAGTTAAACATAGTACATGTACCAGTATTTATATTAATAAAAGAACATCAAGGATAGGAAACTTAAGTAATAGTTAAACATAGTACATGCACCAGTATTTACATTAAGAATTGGACACTTTAGGAATAGTTTTGAACACATGTTTTCTCCTACTTTCCAATATTTGTAAATTGGCAATTATGCTCTGCTTTCTTTCAGGCTTATCAACAAACAGTGAAATTTAGGGATTTCATAATGTCTTTCAATTTAATACTCATGATATCAACAATTAAATCACAATACGACACAATGTATGTTAAAAAGTCATGGTTTACTTATTGCTTTTTATTTATCCATAAAATCTATACCTTTGCTTGAGGATCTGGTTCGAATCCAACCTGTGTTATCTATTCGTACTATGTTAGACACGTCACTCACGCCATAAATGCTGTATCGCAGGTAACCATGTTTACAGTCTGGGGATGACGTAACGTTTGGCCGGGCTATAACCTGTCCAACGACAAAATTTGCTGGACTAAACGTGTAGGACTGCTGGGGAAAATACACAGCACTGATACCTGTAAAATATATAGTAAAATGTTTTGATGAAGCAATCAACATAAGAATAAACAAAAGTGAGCTCAGCAGGAACAAGTTGACATCATAAAATAAGATGTACATGCACATGTATGTCGATTTATAATTAATTAAACACGACGGCATATTTCATGGAGTGCGTTGGGAGGGTTGATCCAAAAGGCCACCGCTGATATAAAAACTTTAATAATCGAATGTTATCAACAAAATTTTACATACTAATACCCTTTTTATTTCGATTTTGGCTAAAAATTTCATTTAGTTATATAAAATACTTTTTAAAGATAAACACAATGTTAGGTTTTGTTTCTCGCCGCACGGCACGGATGATGACGTCGTTTTGACGTTACTTTTCGGCACTCATCTTCTGTTCACCCGCAAATCTTTAATCTTCTCACATGCTTCTTCTAAATAATCTATACTGCCATTTTGCTATAAAACATCTTGATTTGAGTTGTAGAATAAAAAGTATTTGAATTTGTCCAAATGTTATTTCTTGATACATTCCTTTTGCGTAGATCTTATGTATTGTTAGATTCATACTACGGATTGAAGAGTAAGCGACGATAAAGTTTGACTGATCGTCCACTCATTTTTTTCTTCCTCAGTTGAAATTTGAAAAGTTTGATAACCTGACTTAACGCCAGACGACGTCAAATTTAGTACTAATAAGGAAATTCATTAACATTATAGAAATACAAAAGTTGCATGAAATACCAATGTTAATGGATGTACAGATTTTAGGAAGAAGAAAGTGCGTGCATGGGGATGAGTCTTTTAGTTACTTCCTCTTAAATCTGACGCTAAGTTAGATCTACATGTAAACAAAGCGAATTCAGTGTGGATAATTCAGATATTTTTTTTATGAAAAATTTAAAACTAGACCTACATAACACAAGTTGGGAGTGTACATGAAATAAAACGTATGAGAGATTTAATAGATTTATGGATGAAATGAAAATGAATGCCAAAAAGAAACTTCATAGCGACTTCTTGCCGTGCGGCGATACATGAGTCCTAAAATTTCCTTTATTTTAATATTTTAAAAATGAAATTTTAAGGCAAAAGTTAAAATAAATGGTGGTATTAGTATATACAATTTTGTTGATAACTTTCGATTATGAAAGGTTTTATAGGAGTTGTAACATTAGTTCTGGATCAACCCTCGTACCCATCCAGGCATGAAGCGTTGTAGTTCATGTACAGATGAGTGCCAAAAGTGAAGATAATTTTATTTTTTCTCTATATATTTCATTGAAAACAAGATTTTGTAAAATCACTGGAATAACAACATTTATTGACAGATTTTGTCACAATTTTTTTTTGATGATCCAAGAAATTGTTATGTTTGATAAAAACAATACTTTTTATCTGATTAGCATTGATATTTTAAAAATATTGTAATTAAAGTGTGACATGGAAATTTAAGTCATATACGCACAATAAATTATATAGTCAACATTGAATTTTAGAACTGACGTAAATGATGAACTATCTTAATCTAAAAGTTAAATATGTAATGATCTTTTAGAAAAAGATTACTACACATTTTCTGGTTTAAGTACTGAAATACATAATGAAATTGGACAAAAATTGACCATTTGCCAGCGATTTAACGATATGTGGTTTTCAATAAAATAAATAGAAAAGAAATAAAATTATCTCAACTTTTGGCACAGATCTGTACCTCACGAATTCTCAAAAATTAAATTCTTATAATATTTTACATTATTTTTCTGATGACTCCCCACAAATTTATGTCATTTTTGCAACAAACAGTTTGCACTATAGTTTTGACGTCAAGTACGGTATTATGGAGATATTATGCTTATCCAGGGTAGTTCATGAGAAATTCAACAGTTTTCTAATTTGCAGAGAATCTTAAGGAAAATATTTGGAAATGTAAATATAATTTAATGGCAGGTATTACATTCCGCGGAATTCCATGCATATAATGTCTAGTCATCCAAGTAGGTGAGCTGCCAAAAATATTGCCATAAGTTTGTTATCCTCACTTCTAAAGTAAGTAGCAGAATAATTTTTTTCTTAAATATGTGATTTTTACAACTGCTTGTACTGACGGAGAAAAGAGAAGAAAATTGTCATAGGCTAATATAACCACAATGTGTATATACAGAAAGACAGACAGACAAACTTGATCAGAAAAACTTCTAGAGGCTTTGCCTTAGGAGAGCTTAAAAGCAGTCTTCGAATTTTATATATCTTAAAATATTTTATTTGTCGCATAAAGCAATCGAAAAATCGTTGAAAAAGATGCCTTCAAAGCAGCTGAAAACGTGATTCAATTGAAATTCATTCATGGTAGAGTGATAACATTTTTAAATTTTTTTGTAAAAGTACTTGCAACTGTTCATCAACTCTAAGTTTCTCTCTGTCTCTCTCTTAACGATCTTTACTAATGAACTGTAATGCTCTTTTATTGAAGAAATTATCAATAAAATAGGAAATTAATTTGGGTTTCAGGTATGTTGATATATTTTGTAAATTAGCGCCATCCCTTTGTATCTCTATCTAATTATAAATCAAAGTCATTTACATTTACTGCACTGTTTGACAAAGATCAGGAAATGTGAACTCTATTTCTTGCTTTTTTACCTTAATTTCTAAATCAGATAAAACAAACAGCTGATTAAAGAAAAAGACATCATCATGCATCAAGGACATCCAACAAAGCACACGTTTTTTTTTTTTTGATTTTTTTATTCATTGATAGTGAAGGATTATGGCTTGTGAAAAATACTGCCAGACGAAAAACACTTTTTTCTGTCTTTAGTTTTTAAGAGTTTGTGTCATCGTTAAATAATATTTATCAGGATTTAATTCAAGCAGAATTTACTAAATAATTAGTTTAATATTCTTTTCATTGCAGTTTGCTATATAACGAACAAAAAACCTCATTCAACAAGCTTCTTATATTTTCCATTTATGTGCTTAGCTGGAAATTACATCATTTCTCACACCCGGCCCAAAGGACCTATATAAGTCACTTTTATATAATTTGCACATACGACGTTGATTTTATTAATTAGAAATTTTTGGTACAGTTCCGACAGTTTTAAAGGCATCAGATATTTCATCAGAAGATTGCCTTGAAAATTTTCAAATCAAATACAAAAATGTGAGAAGATTGCGTCATCTTCTGATTTTGTCATGTTATGAAATCTACAAAATCCTTTTTTGTGGAAGAAGTCTATTCTTCTGTTTTTAATTAAGGTAGAAATCATTTCTATCTTTGTCACAAAAGTGGCAAATTCTGTCCTTTGCTTTGCAACGTCCAGTTTCGATTCGAAGCGGCAAAAAAAAAAAAAAAAAAAAAAAAAAAAAAAGGAAAGAAAACAAAACATTGACATCATTAATGGACAGACTTAGTAAGTCCATATTCATGTACTGCTCCAGCCCAAACTTGTTCTTGATAAGACGGTAAGGTTGGAGTTTTGAAACAATTTGTAAAAATGCAAGTCTAGAAGCCAATGTGTTTTAACTTTCTGACAGAAAATTTTGAGTTGAATATTGACTGATTTGTATAGATAGGCAGGATCCAGAATCGCAACAGGTTAATCGGGTATCATTGAAAGAACGGCATCAATAACTGCATTTTCTTTGGATTGCAAGCAATGGTGTGAAACGGTGTACTAGTACCCAAAAAATGTACCTTAGACCCGAGAATGCCTCATCTCTCCATTATTGAAAATTTGTAGTCTCCCAAAGTCCATTGCACAAGTAGAGAATACGAACAACATAGTTAAGGTATACTGGTAACGGTATATGCTATGCAATTAAGGTAACCAGATGGTTCTCCACGTCGACCGTCATAAGCAAACATATGCAAAGGTAAAAGTCTCTAAATTTCTATTCTGTGATTTCTTAATTCCAAAAATATTTCTTGAACACGATTTTTTTTTATTCTTGAAATTAAAAAAAAAGAGAACAAACATATACATTCTAAATAAAATGATTAGATGTACCTTTTCTCCTAAAATTTCTATTGTACATAAAGTGGAGCAACTTTTCTTCTGTATGTATCAAGATAAAAGTAGATGAATGTTATCAAAGGAAAGGTAACAGGGTATAAATAGAATTAGACTAAACCGTATGCGTAAACACACATGCAATATCCGTATATAAACGGTTAATACTGATAAAATAATTAGGCGTAGCTTTTCCAGCTCTCAGATTCTACTAATTCAGGGAGATAAAAATTTTCATCTACCTTTTTTTACTACATGTTTGTATATCTTTAAAGTCTAAATAAGCTGAGTTTACGTCGGTCCCTTTTATGTTATTAAGGTAGATCTAACGCCTTTACATATTCCATTCAGTCTCTTTACTCCCCACGCTTTAGTATATCAAACTTTTTCTGATATTCGATATAAAGGAAATAATCGGTATACAAATGACAAGAATACATTGAAAGGTATCAAGGTATTTGAAATTTTGAACCTGTATCCTGACCTTACCGAAAAACGAGAATCTTATTAACAAGGAAACACAGAAGTAGTCCTAATCAGATCCGAGGACTTAGTCTAAAGTTTAATACATTTTTGAAAGTACGAGGGTTGTTCGAAAAGTTCGTGGACGATGTCAATCTTTGTTATACTACTTCAAAGAAATTTAAAATAAGCACATTATCATGTGTAAAAATATTTGTTTTGTTGATCTGTGAAATTTCATTCCATTCGATTTGATAGAAATTAATTTACTTCATTTTAAAATCAACATGTTTTGTAACCACGGCGCACACTTAAGGTCAAGATCTAGTAAATGACTTTAGACTGTCTTTTTGTTGCTAGATCCATTATGACGTCATAATTGTTTTAAGCTTAATTTTTCCCGTACTTTACGGCTATAAAAGAATTGTGTAGCAAATGAAGGATTTTCAATGTATTCAATTTGAAATCATGTCAAAAGTAACCCCGATATCTATATTCAATTTAATATCATTTTAAAATAGAGGTTAAGAAGAAATGAAAAACCGTTTTCTGAGAAACTGTAGGCAATATTGATACATTTCTTTTATCTGAGATGGAAAAAACTCCTAAATTTATACCTGACTTTCTTCTTTTTTCATTAAAAATTACAGTTTAAAATATGTTTTTTCGTCTAGTTTATCAAAAAATTATGTCCGGAAACACCCTATTTTTGCAAGCCATATTTGTAAAGGATCATTAAAAGAACTCATTTCTCAAATTTGAAAAATTTGTAGGCATCTTTCATTTACTAGATCTTGACCTTAAAAGCAATGTAACGTCAAAAACATAGCGTCAAGAGTTTCTTAAAAATTCTATCCCTATACATTCACACAGTATAGTCCAATACCCACGCATTAAAAACCTTTTTCAATCACTTGACATTTATTTTTCTAACAATTGTTCTCATTTTGTAATTTCCTTTGTTAATGTTTAATTTCTTTTACCACTTAACTGTGCTTTCACAAGATCAGCAACTCTGAAGCGCCTACGTCTTTCCATGACGTCCCAACTTTTAAAAGTTTTCGTTCAAATTTTTACAGTTAAACCGTTTCTTCACAGATTGTCCTCGTCCGGTACAGAGTCTCTGTCACTCAAATACCGCCTCTACCATTTACACACACATGCACTACTCGCTTGTGGCGTATTTTCCGATTCCTCCAACATTTTACCGTTTATTCAGGATTTTCCCCGAGTATAACACAAAACTGCATCGTTATCTGCTGCTCCCTGACGTTCTACAACGTCATCGTTTTTGTCGTTTTCAATGAGGACTACCTATCTTCTTAAATTGATTTCTTTTTACCGAAGCAAAATATTAAGCCATAATTTGGAATACGAATCGATGTAACAGTTCTCAATTTAACCGTCTAGGATTTTTTCGTTTTTGCTCCATTTTACAGAGAAGATGACTACAGACATTATTTAGTGTATTGTTTGTAAATTACTAAAGTATGACCTGCGCCGCGATCCGATTTTTGCAGTTTTTAATTATGGATAAGTTTTAAATAAATCATGATATTTTTGAAAAATTTTAATACAAATCATTTAAATTCATTGTTAAAATATTTCTACCAAATTTGGATAACATATGACGTTAAATAAAAAAGATATGACAGAAGTCCATGAACTTTCCGAACAACCCTCGTATGATTGTGTGTTGTATTTTATTTGGAAAAGTGTAGATAAATTAATCTTCTTAAGATTTTTTATGCTTTGATAATGGATTCCTGCAAGTGATTTTAACACTTCAATACTTCGTATGATCTAGTCATAATTTAACAAACTTGCATGTATAATATTTGAAAGTATCTTCACCCTTTTCCCACAAATTGTTACCTTTTTTTCTTGCAGAAAAGTATTTATAATTTTGGTTCTCTTCTGATTGGTGATATTTTCATTCTGTTCTACGTAGGAGTGCTTCCTTTAAAGTTATTTTTGTGCCTGTGGCTTCTGACAAAAAAAAATCCAAGACCAACCCTTTAAGTCCTCTACTTTAAACATACGTGATTTCAAACTTGATTCGTCAGTTCTTGTCTACTAAATTCTTGTCTACTATAAATGGAATGCAATCTAACAACTCGAAATATTATGAAAGAAATGTGTAAGGTTTATCCGATTGTATTTCAGTTAATCCTATTTTGCGACTTGCCTTTCAAAAAATTAATAACAGATCTTAATACCATAAATTTAAATAAAAAGTCGTGTGCACGCATTATCATATTCATTAAATCAGCGCTAATACTTCTATTTTCAAAAAGTAATTGCAATTATTGTAAAAAGAACTACAGATCAATGTAAAATTTGGACTCTGTGCTCCACACCTTTGGCTCCTTTGGAAAACGTTAATCGTTCCTTTATTGTTGGAAGCCCATATCACAACTTAAGAAATAGGACTTTATTGTTCAGTAATTGAAAAATCGAAGAAATTTATTGCTTTTTTAACCGAGCTTTCTTCGTAAAAGAATAGAAAAGAACATGATGGGTTTTTTCCCCAATATCAGTCCGATTTATAACGCTCAGATAACATTTTTCCCTTTAGAAATCTTACATTGATAAAGTGAGATTATCTGGAATTTTCTATGTTTTTTATGCTTGTTAATTTCGATTTTCAGTCTAAGATATTGCAGGAATATAATTTACAATCTCCACCTCTTCTAATGCGTTTATCATCATCCTGCGAGGAAACGTACATGTAATTTGGGTTGTTAATTTCATACTGTAATTTGCTCTTTTGCACATTTCCTGCCATTTGTTATTCATTTTGTCTCTTTATTTCCATGGTTACATGAGGTGAGATGATGTTTATAGATGATCAGTTAATTTCTGACAGGAAGTTTGATAACTCGTCATTAGCTTATTACAAAGACAAGGTTTTGAATTCAAGAAAGCACACTCCCTCGTTCTATTCATTCGTACTGGTATTTTAAAACGAAAGAAAAATATTTCATTTTTGTGTAAATTACTGTCGAATTTCTATCTTTCTTTTCTTGTATTTTTTCCTAGCATAATTTTAACACTTGTAAATTAGGAAATGTCGGTTTAAAATGTTAAGGAAATATTTTTTTTCCCCTGAATATTTTAATTTTATGACTGATAATCCATTTCTCAATCAGAAATATTTTTATATGAAGCACTGCTCCTAAGACTTTTTTTAAAAAATGAATTTATCACATTTCTGACTGAAGGGGTCTTAATTAGATGCATAATATTTGTTAATTTTTAAAATCAAGATTAGGTACTAGTTTTACGTAGTATAAATTCAAATTATTGATTTCTCCACACGAACAGTTCCATTACATTTTTTGACGATAGCAAAGTTGGACTTATTTTAACATTTCCAAGTCGTTTTATTTACTCAGAATGGTTACAAAAGAAACAAATAAGTATGACATGATTTTTCAGTGCACAGAAATACAATCTTTGGCCAATGCTGTCAAGGAAAACTAGTCATTTTTTCAAGAGATCAGCCGAATGTGAACTCCTCCAAATCCATTCCGAACGTGCATTGCATTGACGACAGGCAACGGGGAATCCCTTTCCGAAGTGGTGGCTATTTTCGGAAACCCCCGTACACTCTGAATTTGGTATAGTGTCAATACGAATTGGAGAAAGAAAAGAAAGTTTGAAAAAAAAATACTTCCCTGATTGAACCTACATTAGTTTGAAGGCCAAATATTTATCATAGTCCGTATCACAGAACCAGGGATATCACTTTAGATTCGATCAATGGATCATTCTTTTCTCCAACTTTCTTCTATAGGAAACCGTCGATTTCAACTAGTATATTGACAGGCATCACATTAAAAGTCTACGGGGATTAAACATTCCGAAAATGACCGCCACCTTGGAAAGGTATCCATCATTATTCGTGGTTTTTCTTGCTTGCCGTCTATAACGTAATGACGGAATGAACGTCACATTCGGATAATCACTGGTAGTAACGACAATTCTATCTCGCGCTTGTCAGTTATCGGCAATGGCTGAATTTTACATTATGAATTTCTGTAGTCATACGTGTTTGTTTCAAGTTGTATGTATCCAAAGTGGCTAAAACTGGTTTGGAAATGTTTAATGATATATTCTTTGAAAACAAGTTTAAAAAATTATAATTGATATCGTTTAAATTGTGGTGGAAGCGCTCGTGTGGGACAAACTATATGTACGAGGGTTGATCCAAAAGCAATGTGACAACTCCTATAAAATCTTTTATAATCGAATATAATCAACACAATTTTAGTGACTAATAACCCTATTTATTTTGATTTTTACCTTTAAATTTCATTTAGCTATTTAAATCACTTTTTAAAATATTAAGATAATCAAGGCCTCAGGTTTTGTCTATTGCTGCACAGCAAGAATATTGCCGACGTCCTTATGACGTTACTTTTCGGCACCCATTTTCAGTTTACCCGCAAATCTTTTTATCGTCACACTGTCACATGCTTACTTTTTTTTAAAAATAATTTTTACTGCCATTTTGCTATAAATCGTCTTGTTTGGGTTGTATTTTCAAACTTACTTGAAATTTGAAGTGCATATGAAATAAAACGTATAAGTGAGGTATTTAAAAGGTATCTGTATGAACTGAAAATGAGTGCCAAAGAGAAACGTCATAACGACGTCGATTTATTCTTGCCGTACGGCGATAGACGAGATCTAACGTTGTACATGTATTTATTTTAATATTTTAAAAAGTATTGCACATTTCTGAATGAAATTTTGAGGCAAAAGTCAAAGTAGATGGAGGTATTTATATAACAAATTTTTGACAAGTTTCTATTATTAAAGATTACGTAGGAGTTGTAACATTACTTTTGGATGAACCCTCGTACAATATGATGACGTAGTTGTCGTGCGGCAATTTTTGACCGGTTGTTCATGAATATCAAAAAATGATTTTTCGATAATTTGGTACTGGTAAACTAAGACATGTAGACTTCTGCGAGAAGCGCTGACTTTTACAATCGACGGATTACTTTTACAAAAGGACACTATATGGAAGCTCTTTTGTGATATAAATGCTTAGCTGAACAGTTAATTAAAAGGTCTGAATAGGTCGTTTCAAAGCACATATTACGTTGTATAGGAAGGGAACTGCAACCACCCTATCCTCAGTCCCCTCCTTCTCCATCTTGACTAGCTCCTACCAAGTTTTCCTTTCGGCATGTTTTTTCTTCCGTATTTGATTCCTTCAAAAATGAGATTGAAAGGAGAAACTATCCCTCACAAATAACGTATTTTGTTGCTATTCTGCCTCAAATCACCTCTTGCGTTGGTTGTATACCGGTGAATCATGTTAAAGAGGGCCTCTAACATCATACCTAAAACCACTATTAATATTTTCTTATTTATCATCAATTCTGTACCTACGCACAAAACCAGGTTAAAATGTCAAAGTAAGCCGTCGACTGTAAAGCAAAAGTCAGTGCTTCTCGCAAAAGCCCAGTACTAGCATACTTTCTTCAAGTAATACCTCCGTTTGAATTTCTGTTTACTTTCTCATTATCAAAAAGAAAGAGGAAAAGTTTTGAGTAAAAAGTCAACTAGACTTGTCAAAGAAGAAGTTCCTAAATAGCATGCGACCACTATACTGATTTTATCATGGTCATATTAGAAAGAAGCGTTTTTCTTTCTTGAAGGTTACTGTAAATCGATGACTCATTGTATCCGTATCTCTAAATTTTTAAGTTGAATTTAGAAATCATCACCGAATATACAACTACCAAGATCGTATGTGGTGACCTCCGTCTCGTACTAACTTCTCGACTTGCGCACACGTGACAAAACTTTGTGTGCTGATCGGCCACTTGCTTTCTTTAAATTCATTGCTCCCAGTATTATAAAAAATAAAATATATTTGTTTTTATACACTTTGTTACATGTATATATGGAATCGTTTTTCTCTTCATTTGTGCGTAATATCTTTATTCAGAAGCAAAAAGATTCATAGACTTCAAAGCCCTTTAATTCATGCGTGTTCAGGAATTTTTCAATGTTAATAGCTCACTGGAAATGACAATTTTCATTTGAAACATTTATATCTAAGAAACTAGTGTCTACGGTTAATGAAAATCATTCGTTTGATTTATTTTTTGTTCAGTCAGTTTGTGGTAGTCGGGACTTGTTTGTGGGATCTCGTTTGACTTTTTTCTTTTCAATAACTGTTTAGATCCAACAATTTTCCCCTCTTATCAAAAGGACTTCTTTTTTGTAGGTTTGATAATTTTTCCATATAAGTGGCATTAAACAATAGCATGGGATCGGCGCTGATATCTTCGATCACAAGAGACCGATAACCATATGCCGCAAAACATCAAGAAGTAAAAATGTCCTGCGATTATGATATTCCTCAGAAGATTTCCAATGAATGTAATATACGCGTCCAAAGGGCACATATAAACTTACAGCCTTATTGCAGGTGCATTAATTCTTAAGGTGCAATTGCTGAAAATATAAGCGGTATCACTATGAAAGTCGCACAGATTCACTTTGCACTTCTGGTTTTCCGGTACGACACCGTCCTTTCTATTCCTAGGTTAGAAGACGACAATTATTACCGCTAGCTTTTAATTCTTTGAAGTGAGTATGTTTGGACATCATTACTGATGACACTTGATCATAGTTAGATCTGGAATGGTTGTTCTATCAAATAAAAGAAAGGTTGGCCAAAGTACAAATTCATAGAGATCAATGGTTTTAAGTGCATTAAAGGTTTGCACAATGTTGCTTGAATAATCATTAGATAGAAAACATATTCGTTTACAGATGGTGGGTAATTCAATTCAATTCAAAATTCAGAAGCACACGAGTCATCTTTTGCTTACAAGGCTGTACAAGAAAGGATGCATTGTATTTTAATAGGTTTTTACTGAAAATCCAAAAATCATATTGTTGATGATTTTCTTGTACATGTATCAATTTTTACAGAAATTCATTGCATTTCTCATATAAAGTACAATTTACTGGGGAAATCAAAAGAGACGCACTGCAATATTACTTCTTACGAATCCTTTGAACCCATGTATATTGATATAAACATGGGATACAATTACATAATTGTACTGGAGGGGGATATTTTGTGTTGCATATACCCACAGATGAGAGGGTGAATAAACACAGAATTTAAGATTTTTTTCTCAGCAACCCATAAACAACACTCACTGAATCTTCGGTGAAATAGTATCATACGAGTAATCTTTTTTAAACAGAAGTATTATTTTCTTGAGAACATATTTTTTTTTTATAAACAGGTTGATTAAAAAAAATGCTAGAAACGTTAAAACAGTTTCGAATTACAATTTCTGAATCTCTGTGATACCTTATATATCAGTAATGCCAAGACCTACAAATCTTACTCACAAAAGAGTTAATATTTAAATTTCATGCACTTGTTCCTAAATTACTGAGTAATCAAAATTATTCTCGGTTAAGTGTTAACCTATCATTGTGCTCCTAGATTTCATTTTAGATGTTGCATGGAGACAAGTTGTCAGATCTCACAAAGGGGGCGCCTGTCATCTGGAAGTAAGCAATAGCCGGTGCCCGGGGACAGACAAGGTTTGAACTAGATAGGTAATAAAAATAAACAAAAATAAGAAGCAGTACTTTTTCCTTTTAGTTTTGCATGAAAAAGGTGAATATAATGATTACATATATTGCATTTTTTTCCATCCATCAGCAGATACTTTGCATAGCAAATTTCGTTTACTAGACTTTTTTTCTTTATTATAACATGTCAGATTCCTTTAG